TTTAGGTTTATGTCGGGCGTGTCCCCCTACAGGGGGATTTTCAACGAAAAACTCAAAATACTCAAAAGATGCTCCAAAAAGGTCAAAAATACTAAAATTATCCCGGCAAAGCAACCTAACAGCGATATGTAGAAGCATATCTGAAAGCATTCCCCTTAAGATTCAGATGAAAATCCAGTTGTAGAATTCTGCTGTTCTCGCAGTCGTAGTCGCATTCGCGATGACAGTCGCAGCGGCAACGGCAGTCGCAGTCACAGCCTCAGCCTCAGCCTGCCTCAGCCTCAGCCTCAGCCTGCCTAGCCTCAGCCTGCCTCAGCCTCAGCCTCAGCCTGCTTCAGCCTCAGCCTCAGTCTGCCTTCAGCCTCGGCCTCAGCCTCAGCCTGCCTCAGCCTCAGCCTGCATCAGCCTCAGCCTCAGCCTCAGCCTGCCTCAGCATCAGCCTGCCTCAGCCTCAGCCTCAGCCTGCCTCAGCCTCATCCTCAGTCTGCTTCAGCCTCAGCCTCAGTCTGCCTTCAGCCTCGGCCTCAGCCTCAGCCTGCCTCAGCCTCAGCCTGCCTCGGCCTCAGCATCAGCCTGCCTCAGCATTCAAAATGTGGCCCGGGAATGGAGTTCTGGGAACTAGAAGAACACGAAGTGGCCTACAGTTGGCTCCGGGCATTCAAAATCATGCCCAGGAATGGAGTTCTGGGAACTTGAAGAGCACGAAGTGGCCTACAGTTGGCTCCGGGCATCCAAAATGTGGCCCGGGAATGGAGTTCTGGGAGGTCGAAGAGCACGAAGTGTGTGACTGTTGGCGAAAAGCGAGCCCGGCTCTGTTCCCGGTTCTCCAGAATGTGGCCCGGGAATGGAGTTCTGGGAGGTCGAAGAGCACGAAGTGTGTGACTGTTGGCGAAAAACGATTCCCGGTTCTCCTCCCCGGCACCCGCCCAGACCCCCCTGTGGAGTCCAGATGCTCTCTTTTGACACCACTAGAAACCTATCAGCAAAAGCTGTTAGGTAATAGTCCCCAGACTATGTTTGGACTATGTTTTAATTATTTTGGGGGTATCTCTTTCGTCGAAAATCCCCCTGTAGGGGGACACGCCCCACTTAGATTCAGGTCCGCCGGTCAAGATGTCGAGGTGGATCGAGCCGTGGCGACGAGGTGGATCGAGGCGTGGCGACGAGGGCGTTTGGAGCAGGATGTCGAGGTGGATGTCGATGCGTTTGGAGCAGGACGTCGAGGTGGATCGAGCCGTGGCGACGAGGGCGCCCCGGAGGAGCCCTCAAAGGGATGCCAGCGGCATCCGTCGGCGGCGAGCCCCGGTGGGGCCGCAGAGAGGGGGCGGGGCCTTCTCGGCAGGCTCCAAAACGCCGCCGGCCTTCGGCGGGCCTTCGACTTCCCCCCCTCCGAAGGAGGAGAACACCCCGCCGTCTCCTGAAGAGAGCCCCCCTCCAAAGAGAGAGAGAGAGGAACAAAAAGAGAGAGAGAGAGAAGAGAAAAAGAGAGAGTGAGAGAGAGAGAGAGAGAAAGCCCTGCCCGAAGGAAGGCCCCCCTCCGAGGAAGAGAGCCCTCCGAAGAGAGAGAGAGAGAGAGAGCAAACCTCTCAGAAGGCCCGCCCCCTGCCACTTCCCCCTTTGGGCTCGCCGCCGACCTTCTGCTCCGCAGAGGCCGACCCTCCGATGGGGAGCCGGAAGCCCACGGGCGGCCCCCTGCGGCTCCATGGCGGCGGCTGGACCCACTGGCAGGAGATAGAAGGAGAGATGAAGGGGCCCTGGGACACGCAAATCAATACACAAATGACACGATTCCCCATGTTCTCCTATATTTTCGGGGTTTTCGTTGTCCCCCTCACTTCCCATATTTTCCGATATTTTCTTGCGAATTGGCGATTGGTTGTGTCTGTGTGTTTCTTCCCCTCCTGGAAAGAGGCCGCCCCGGGAGGCCCGAGAGAGGCAGAGACAAGCCACCAGAAGCCTCAACATGTCGGGGATGGACAGACCTCCCTTTAGGAAAGCGTGGTTAGGTGAGAACGACTTGAGGCCCAAGACTGGCGGGCGCAGGCCTGGAAAATAGCGGCCACGGCGCCATCTCGAGAACCGAGAACGGACAATCCACAAATCGACGTGTCACTGTTGGGGGTTCTGTCCACCCCCGAACATGTGCATCGGCAACCGATGCTCCACGTGGAGAGCTGTAGAGACTCTCGACGTCTTCCTTCCTTCTGTGCGGGTTCCCTGGAATATTCCCGACCCTCTCCCCATGCAGGGCTGGCTTTTCGTCCTGAGTCGGTTTTGACGGTCCCAGGGCCCGGTGAGGGCCCCTGGGGCCCAGGGACCGAAAAGGGGGAACAACCTCCGGATCGTTTTTTATATTAAAAAAAACGTTGAATGTCTGAGTGGATCGGAGGCGTCCAAGAGTGTCCAAGAGAAGGATTCGTAAACCATGGAGCAGTGCGCGGCCGAGGGGGGGAACCAGGGGACTAATCTAGGGAAGAACAGCGGGCCGTGAGATCGGGGGAGATGTCATGGCCCCGTCCACAATGACGAACCAACAACACACACCCATACCCATAGAGGGGTCGGAGAGGGCTATGGGTGCGTGTTGTCGGATGGGGGTCCCCGCTCGAACGGGAGCGTTCCCCAGGGTCCGACAACCCGCACCCATACCCATAGCCAGTCCTCCTCCCAACGACCCCCCTATGGGTATGAATGTGTGTTGCTCGTTCGTCACACAACATTTTCTAATATCTCCGGTAACGGTCGTTACCCCTGGAGGGAGGGGGCTCGGCCGGCCCCAAGTAACTGCAACGCTTGCGCGGGGTTGGGGACGTCGGCGATGGGGGCCCGCTGAGATCGCCAAGGGAAGCGCGCGAGCACCAGCACGTGTGAAGAGAGGTTGAACGCCCCCCCCCTCTCCCCTACGTGCGACTATTACCGTTACCTGGGGGGGTAGCCCGGGTAAGGCATTTGCGCGCCAAAGGATAAAGAAACATAATAAATCGGGTCCTCCCCCCCTGTTGTTTGGACGCCCAAAGGGGTCTGGAAAAGAATGGGCACGATGCCCGACAACACGTGCTGCCCAAGACCGACAACGGCCGCTGTTGGGCAGACAGCCGTCTGTCTCAAATGGACCACGTTCGCAGCGACGCCAACAGCGAACCCTGTTCAACATGGGAAGAGGCTGCTGTCGGTACTCGTGCCCATGCTGTCCGTGCCCACTTCGAACGCACCGACCTGCCGACTTTGGCGGAAAAACGCACATCCGCATACGTTGCTTCGACGGTGTCGCCCCCAGGCCCTCCATTTCAATGCTGCGTTCGCGGCCGTCGTCGGCATAAAAAGACGCGCCCAAAACTCCACCGCCAAGGCAGCACCGTTTTCCACATTGAAATATTGGGGGGCACAGAAGCTCTGAACACAGCAGCGTTGTCCAGTGTGCCTGGGCGTTTCTTACGCCAACGGCGGCGGGACGCCCCTGATGGATGCCTGGGTCCCAGGGCGGGGTCCCAAAGAGGGCGGTCAGACAAACGCGCTCCACTGCTCGCAAAATAACTACTGCGCAGGGGATCTACGATCCAAACAGCGAGGCGAACATATGTTTTGTACGTTTGCGAGTAGGAACTTTGCGAGTATAGAGGGGCCAAATGCATCAACACAAACTGTTTGCGCTCCGCGCGGATTTCTTGGATCTGCGTTGACCCCCCTCCCTGGCGCGCGGAGCGCGCCAGGGGCGGCGCCGGAGGCTCCGAGAGGGGGTCCCCGCGCGGATCTAAGAAACCCACGCGGAGTGCCAAAAGCTTATGTTGATGGCGTTTCTTCTCCTTCGAAAGTAGGCTTGTGGATGCCGTGACGATGGACACTCTAACAGCCCTATCATTGGATGTTACACGTGCTTCAATGTCTTGACACTGTGTAACTCATGTTTCAGACATGTTTCTTGCATGTTTCGAGCATGTTTTAAACATGATCTAAACATTGGAAAAATATTTGACATCATGCCTCCTCTCCATTGATCGTCTTCCACAAGTCGGGAGCGGCCAAGAGGGGGGCGTCCAAGAGGGGGGAAGGGGGGCGCAAATCATGGCCGGCGGCATGTGCGCGGCCCAGGGAGGGGGGCCAGGGACGTATTGGAATAAGAAGAGGCGCCATGAAATCTGGGGAGATCTCATGGCCCCCGCCATGATATCCACCCACCCATAGTCATCACCTCCCTCTTGGCCGCCCCCGACACAAGGTGAGCGGTCCTCCGTGGCTCAGTGGCGGCGGCTGGCCACGGGCAAGCCAAAAAAATATGTTGATGGCGTTGTTCCCCAGGCATCCAGCTGCTCCAATTTTGTTCGATGCGTGGGACTTGGAGGTCGGGACCACTTCTCTAGGGCCAGTTTTTCGTCCTGCGTCGTTTCTTGCCTCTCCCAAAGCCCGGTGAGGCCCCCAAAGGCTGAAAACAGCTGGAACCGACTGCTCCAATTTTTCTGGAGTCTCGGATCTCCAGGTCTCCTCTTCGACAGCAGGCACCTTGCGAGTAGTGGAACGCGCTCGGTGAGCGGTCCTCCGCGGCTCGGCGGCGGCGGCCGGCCACGGGCAAGCCAAACCGTTTATGTTGATGGCGCTTTTCCCAGACATCCAGCTGCTCTTGGCCGCCCCCGATCCCCTCCTTTCGGCGGTGACAAACCTCCCTTTAGCAAACCTCCCCTTAGTGAAAGCAGCCTGGGACGGAAACCGACGCACCTGGACCCGCAAAAAACGACGGCCGCGACGCCCTCTCGCGAAGCGGAAACGGCCAAGTCCTTAATCGACGTGTCAGGGTAGGAGGTCTGTCCACCCCCGATCCTTCGCTCGTCTTCCACTCCTCCTCCTCCTCCTCCTCCTCCTCCTCCTCCTCCTCCTCCTCCTCCTTCCTCCCCCTCCTCCTCCTCCTCCTCCTCCTCCTCCTCCTCCTCCTCCTCCTCCTCCTCCTCCTCCTCCTCCTCCCCCTCCTCCCCCTCCTCCTCCGCGCCTCAGCGGCGGTCCTGCGCGGCTCAGCGGCGGCGGCTCGCCACGGGCAGGCCGGGCAGGCCGCCCCCCGCGGGGCCGGCGGCGGGCGCGCCGCCCCCGCCGCGGCTGGCCACCGGCAGGCCGGGCACGCCGCCTCTGCCGCGCGGGGAGGAGGCCGTCGCCGTCGTCGTCGTCGGCGTCGTCGTCGTCGTCGTCGTCGTCGTCGTCGTCGGCGGCGTCGGCGAAAAAGTCGCGACGGGGAGGGCGCTTGCTGCGAGGCGGCGACACATCCACATCCACCGCCTGTGGAACTGACGTCCTGGGACCCCAGCGGGCGGTGGATATGGATACATGTTGGCACCAGGAGGCCCGAATATATTCCTATCTATCGCCTGCCGACCCTGAGATCGGAAGTCGCGAAACAATGTAACATCATGAGCAATCAAAGCCGGAGCCCCAGACCCCATCTTTCTGCACCATTTTCGCGCCAGATCGATCTGTGAGTGTCCTGGGGCCCGAGACAGGGCGAAAAGGCCTTGCTCAAAAAATTAGACGACAGGATCTCAGGACCCAGGCGGTGGTTATGGATAAAACCCCCCACTTGGACTTGTCGGGCCCTGGGGCCCTCAGAAAAAAAACGACTCGGGATGAGCAGGCACGGGGCCGAGAGCCCACGCCCTGAGCCCCAAAAATGGCGTCGGGAGTCCGCATAGGGGAGGAGGAGACGTTCCAGACATGCGCGCGTCGTGACAAAATCGCGACGTAAGGCTTTTGTCAGTTTTTGGCCTCAGGCCCCCCCGCCTGGTCCTACTCGGGCTGGAAAAACGGCCCTTCAAACAGGATCGGGACTTCTGGGGACCGCATACTGCTGAAACTAGCAAGACATCGCATGGCTTGGTTTTGGGTCACAGACACGAGGCTGCCCACCCACCCCATGCCCGCAGCCGATTAGGCTCAACTCCTGACGAGAAACCCGGATCCACGCAGGCCCGAGTGCTGCTGGGACGAGCTGTGTCGCGCGTCTCTCGTTCTGAATCGCCTCGATCGGCCGAAGGGAAGGACGAGCATGGGAAGGCTTCGGGTTGCGCACAGACAACTCCCAAGTAGTCCCGGCTGGCTCAACAAGCCCCTCGAATACTCCGGGGCGGTCTCAACACCTCAACCCTGGGGCGCCAAACGCCCCACGTGTTGAGACCCCCCGGACTATTCGGGGGGCCTGTTGAGGCAAGCCGGAGCTGCCTGGAAGGTGCTGTCTGCGCGCAACCCGAAGCCTTACCAAGCGTACCCAAGCCCCCTTCTGAGCGCACGCAGGTTCGCCGCTTCACCACGGTGGGCGCGCGCTGGACCAGAAGCGGGATAATCCTGGTGAAATATGGTGAAGGCCTTGATTCTTTCCTATTTGGAACGCTTATTTTGCTTCGAGTGACCCCCGCCCAAGAGCGCGAGGCGGGATCCCCAGTGAGGCGCGGCACACTGTGGGCATGGCAGCTGCGGTATGCAGCCGTCAATCGTCGAAGGCACGAGGCTGGATACCAGGGGGAGCACCGGTTCACTTTGGGTCTGGCAGCAGGGTGTGCGAGGCTGGTCGGGAGTCCTGTTCTTTCAGCGTAACAACCCCATCCTGGCGGGTGGGGAGATAGAAACACATCTCAGTCGCGCTCACCAACAGAGTGTGCCCGAATAGTGAATTGGGAAAAGAACCGCCCGCCGTCGAATGGCACCAGCTGGAAGTGGTCACAGCTGCGAGGAGTTTAAGACGAACCTGCATTCTTGAAACACCGACGAAGAATATACGCAGCGCCCGAACGATAACGAGATTTAGAAAAAGAACAGACGCCAACCCTGCAATGCTTAAACAACTACAACAATGTGTGGTTGGTAAGTTGCAGGGGGCTCCCGAGAAGAACGCACAGCCCACGCTGCGGACACGTCTGGTGGTGTGTATAACTCGTCGAGATGAGTTATATGTCTGGAAGCGGGATTGTGATACACAGATATAAGATGACGGATGGAGGTGATGCAGAATAATCGGAATGCATGGGGGAAGCACGTGTGGGGACGAACAAGAGGTGAGACATATGCACATATATACGCTAGAACCACGAGCGCTTCACGCGCGCTTAAATCCTAGCGCACTCAAATGCAACTTACCAGACTGGATGCAGATGGACATCATCCCGCAAGGATCACCATCTGGCAGCATATTCCCTGATGAACGCTCCAGGAGTCAGGCAATCAGCAGGCCCTAGAGACTGCTGCTCTGAGCAGATACACCGAGCAACTGCCCGAAGGTAACCGTTAGGAGGCTTCGGGAGGCTCGTGGCCTGTGGACCGTCTCTCGCGGTCTTGAAGGTCTCCTGGGCGTCTGGAGGGCCCCTCGGACTATCTCGGTGGTGTTTGGGAGGTCCCTTGGAAACCCTGGGGGCCAATGATCTGGGGCTCTTCGCTCGGCTGCTGTCGGGGACCACATGCGAACCCTACCCCTACCCCCCCACGACTTCTGAGGCGGAGGGTGGGGTGCTTCTTGGGGACGGGCGTCTTGGGGCTTTTTGGGGCGGGGCGTCTTCGCTCGGCTGTGGTCGGGGACCACGTGCGAACCCTACCCCTACCCCCCCCCACGATTTCTGAAGCTTCACTTCGCTCGGGAGCTCCCGGACGAAGTGAGCCCCACACTCCCCCTCAGAAGTCGTGCGGGGCAGGGGTAAGTAGGGTCCGCATGTGGCCCCCTCGGTTGGAGGTACCTCCTGGGTGCTTCTCGGCGGGGGGGGCGTCTCGGGGCTTCTTGGGGTCCCTGGGGTGGCATCGTAGGGGCTCTCTGGGCAATCGGAAGGCGATGTTCTGCAATCTGAAGCCGTCATGGGCCGTCTTGGCTGCGTCGAGGCCCGACGTGAGGCCACCTGGGGTCCCCATTGAGGCAATCTGGGAGCCTCTCGGGGGCCTCCTGGAGGCAGTCTTGATGCATCGAGGGCACTATTGGGCTGTCTTGGGGCCTCTTGTGCGTCTCCTGGGGGCATTTTCGTTGGGGCCACCTGTGGGCCTCTTGGGGCGGAAAGCTCTGCTGCTGGGTTCGCGTTCCCTTGGGCCTCTCTTGGGGCCGTCATGAGGCCTTCTCGGGCCGTCTTGGGCGCCTCAAGCACCGTATTGGGGTCCTCGTGGGCCGTCTTACCGGTCTTGGGGGCCTCTTGGGCTGCCTTGAAGCGTCGGGATGCCAAAAGGCTGAACACTACGGGAAAACAATATGTGTTGCCTCTTCTTGGAAGGCCTCTTGGAAGCATCTTCGGCCCTCTGGGGAGCTTCTTGGGGGCGTCTTGGGGCCTCTTGGGGTCTACTCAAAGCCTCTCGGTGTGAAGGCTCGGACTTTCGGTTCGTGCTACCCCTCTTGGCCCCCTCTTGGGCTCCTCTTGGGGCCCTCTCGGGTAGTCTTGGGTGCCTCTGGCGCCGTCTTGGCTGCGGCCCGCGGGCGTTGGTACCACTTGGTGATCCGCGGCGACGGGGCGGGTGCGCCGGGGCTAAGGTCTCATGGGCATTTGTGACCCGTTGTGACGGGCGGATCGCGCTGGGACAGGGGCCCCTCTTGGGCCGTCTTGGGGCCGTCTTCGAAGCCTCTGGGGCTGCCTTGGAGCTGACATTGGGGCCTCTTGGGCCGTCGTGGAGCGTCGGGAAACTGAAACGGCGAGAACTCGAAAATCCTTCTAAAACACATGGGAACTCAATGATGTTTGCCTCCTGGGGTTCCTTGGGAGGCATCTTGGAGGCCTCTTTGGGCGTCTTGGAGTCTCCTGGACAGTCAGGGGCCTATTCTGGGGTAGTCTCGGGCCGTCATTTGTCGTTGTCGCGGTCTGGAAGCGCCACTTCTGGCGATCCGGGGCCGCCGTCGGGCGATCTTAGAAAGCCCCCGGCGCCGCTGCAGGGCCTCCAGAGCCCCCGAGCCGCCCATGCGCCGTCGAGGCCTGGGCCCTGGGCCCCCAGCCCTCGTGCCCGGGGATCTATCTATGTATATGTATATATGTGCATATATGTGAGTATGTATGTATGCATGTATGTATGCACGGATGCATGCCTGCCTGCCTGCCTGTATGTCTGTCTGTCTGTCTGTCTGTCTGTCTGTCTGTCTGTCTGTCTGTCTGTCTGTCTGTCTGTCTGTATGTATGTATGTATATATGTATGTATGTATGTGTGTATGCATGAGTGTGTGTATATAGGTATGCATGCATTAATCGATGCATGCATGCATATATGTATGATTTTATGCATGTGTGCATGTACGTGTATATGCGTGTATGCGTGTATGCATGGATGCATGTATGCATGAATACATGGATGCATGGATGCATGGATGCATGGATGCGTGTATGCATGTATGCATGTATGCATGTATGCATGTATGCATGTATTCACGTTTGCACGTATGTATGCATGCATGCATGTATGCATGCATGGTTTTATATATGTATGTGTCTATGCATGTAGGCATGTATGTGTGTATGCACGTATGTATGTATGTAGGTAGGTATGTGTGTATGTGTGTGTATGTATGTATGTATGTATGTATGTATGTATGTATGTATGTATGTATGTATGTATGTATGTGTGTGTATGTATGTATGTATGTATGTATGTATGTATGTATGTATGTATGTATGTATGTATGTGTGTATGTATGCATGCATGCATGCATGCATGCATGCATGCATGTATGTATGTGTGGATGTCTGAATAGATGCATTCTGTATATGTGTGTATGCATGTAGACATGCAGTCATGTATGTGTGTATGTGTGTATGTATGTATGCAGGCAAGCAAGCAAACATACATATGTGCATGTCTGTATACATGTGTATAAGTATGTACGCACATATGTGCGCTTGTAAGTAAGGAAGTAAGTCATTAAGTACATATGTATGTATGACTGCGGCGTAAGTTTGTATGTTTGCATGCATACATACACTCAAACATACACCTATACATACATTCGTACGAAGACAAATACACCCGCCACCGTAGCCTCGTGACACGAGTAAGAGTGTACATCTCTTGGGGCGCGTCGCGTTGGGGGCTCCCCAGGTTCTGTCGCGTGACTTTTGCGGGCCCATGAATGCCCCAAGACGGACACGGAGGTTCCCGAAAGGCCCCCGAAACTGTCCACGAAGGCCCCGAATCGCCACTCCAAGACGCCTAAGACGGTCTCAACCACTGCCCAAGAGACGACCCCAGAGGCCGCCAAGAGGGACCCCAAAGGCAACAATCATTGATGTCCTTTGATTTGTCAAGGATTTGGGCTGTCTCGCCGCTTCGACTTCCCGACGCTCCCAGGCGGCCCAAGAGGCTCACAAGATCGCCCAACGACGGCCCAAGAGGCCTCCAAGAGGGCCCCAAAGCAGCCCCAGAGGGCCCCAAGACGGCCCAAGAGGCTTCCAAGACGGCCTAGAAGGACCCCAAGGCGGCTCCAACAGGGGGCTCAGACGGGTGACCCGAGCGGCTACTTCAAGCCCTCGGCCCCAAGAGGCCCTCAGGAGGCCCCAAGATGCCCCAGGAGGGAGGCTCCAAAAAGACCCCAAGAGGAGCGCCAATTCGGTGACACAGCAGGCCGACGAGCGCAAATCCAAATCCACCGAGAGGGCCGGCCGCAAAACCCGCAGGTGCTCGGAACGTGCGACCCCGGCAGCACCGGTCCCAGACCACCGCAGAGCCGCCCGTTCGGCCATCTCTGGGCCAGTAGCGGCCGATGAAGGGGGCTCGAGGGGAAGGAGGAGGAGGAGGAGGAGGAGGAGGAGGAGGAGGAGGAGGAGGAGGAGGAGGAGTCGTGCCCCCAAAAATAAAATACCTACCGCTCTCTCGGGATCCGAGAGAGCAGTGCGGTCGGCGCTGGGCTCCCAAGGGAGATGCCTGCGCGCCACCAGAGCCACCCGAAGACGGACCTGACCCATCGGATGTGAAAGTACCGCCCCGAGGCCACAGCGAGTCAGGTCGACACTCGGACCTCCTCCTCCTCCTCCTCCTCCTCCTCCTCCGCCCTCCTCCTCCTCCTCCTGCTCCTCCTCCGCCCTCCTCCTCCTCCTCCTCCTCCTCCTCCTCCTCCTCCTCACGACTGGAACACTTACCAGACCCTTTTAAAAAATCCCGCCTTCGTCCTGGCCAAACGGGAATGCTACATGCTCACCCGTTGCGGCGCGAACCCGCGTGCGAACGCTCACGCGCTGCGGCGCGTGCCCGAGACAAGGCGACGAGGGCACAACGATGTTGGTGGGGACGGGCGTTCGGCGCAAGCGAGACTAAGAAGCTGCGGGCTCCAAAAGAGGCAAGGTGCAGAAAGCATGCCCCGGCTGGCCTGGGCTGGACCTGCTCTTGACTGGGAGACCCAGCGCAGCGGCGGCGCCCCCATGTCGCCTCCCGTTCGCCATTCGCTGCCCTCCTGCTCTCACGATTCAAACAACGCCATCATCAATTCAAGCCATGCCATCGTCAACCGCGCCCCGACCCTGCACAAGCCGCCGTGCTCAGATGGCGCAAGACTCGTCTGTCAGGGCAACTCCTCCATCGCATCTCGAGGCGTCGACTCATTCCCACGCGTGTAAGCCACATGCGTGGTCGAAGCGAATGCCAGACAAGGCCATGCGAGTCGCCGACAGATTGTACGCAACCAGCACGCAGCCAATGGGGGAGCGCACAACAGCCTGACCGAGCAAGAGTCAAGCGCATAGTGCAAGTATGCGAAGAGAGGGTCCAGAAGCTGTTCGACACAGCAGAGGGGATAAGGAGCCAAATAATTCCCTCTCTATATCCTTAGTTTTCTCTCTGTCCCCTTCTCCTTCATTGTTCCTTTTGCCCTAACCCTCTGCGACTACACATCCCTCTTTCTCTCTATTTCTCTCTGACTCTCTCTTTCAGTATATATAGATATGTATACAAAGACGTCTTTAGGTATTTGAATGTATCAATCGCCTTCTCTCTTTCTCTCTTGTTGTTTCCCACATGTGTCGTGGGGTTATGGTTTTCTTCTCTGCCGCGTCGCACCCGCGTCTCCTCACGTCCCTCTTTCCCTCCTCCTGATCGTGTTCGATCATCCACGCGTCGACGCGTTCGGCCGCACGTGACCGACTCGCCCGTGTTGCACCCACGACGTATGCGCCATATAGTGAGCACCACGCGCAACACATGCATGGCACGTCCATGAGACACGCGTCTGCATACAGCCGCACGCCCGAGCTTTGGCACATCCTTCCCTGTGAATATGCAATTGTTAAATCGGTTGTCCTGTGTTTCCAGTTTTCCTCTCTAGCTTTCCTGGGCTCCAGGTGCCGCCACTGCAGCTCCCCAATAATGAAAATCCTTGTGCAAGATCACCACATAAGGAATCCTTTGTTGTGCAGGCTGCTACAAACGTATGTTTCGCTCCCCACATGTTTCGTGGGTTTGGGTTTTCTTCCGACCCGCGTCGCACCCGCGTCTTCCTCACACCTCTCTCCTCCCTCCTCCCTCTCCTCCTTTTGCGTTCTCCCTCCACCCACACAGCCGCACGCACGCACACACTCGCAAACACGCACACGCCATACCACGCTAGTGCACGCCTGGCGTGTTCACTGCATCCTACACCCAAGACGTATGCACAACATGCTGGGCACCCACGTGAGACATACGTCCCGATACGGCCGCAAAACATCATGCACGTACACATGGCATGCCATATACAAGGCATGCGTTTAGGATTCGCAGTGCATGGCAGGCGTGGCACTTCCTCGGCACCAGGGGGAGTGCGTTGGGGGTGGTCTCCATATTCGTTGCAGACTCGCAGGGCGCGGAAAGCTTGGCACTTCCTCGACACCACAGGGGGGGCCGCTGGGGGTGGTCTCCCTATCCGTTGCAGGCGAGCAGGGCGTGGCAGGCGTGGCATTGCGCATAGATGGTAGTGATATGCAAGCACGTAAGACTTATATTAGCATGTGGAGTTCCTCGGTAGCGTAATTACTTGTTGTTGTCGTCGTCGTTGTTGTTGCTGTTGTTGTTGATGCTGGCGTTGTTGTTGTTGTTGTTGTTGTTGTTGTTGTTGTTGTTGTTGTTGTTGTTGTCTCTCTCTCTCTCTCTCTGTCTCTCCCCCTCCTTGTTGTTGATGTTGTTGTTGTTGTTGTTGTTGTTGTTCTCTCTCTCTCCCTCTCTTTCTCTCCTCCCTCCTCCCCTCCCTGCCTCCCTCCCTCTTTACCCTCCCTCCCCTGGGAACACTGGATGCGCTCTTTCAAGACGGCCCAGGCAGGCAACCTAGGCCGCCAAGAAGGCCCAAGCTGCCTCCATCCAAGACGATCCGATATCGCCCCAAGTCGGCCCAAGATGGCCTCACGACGGCCCAAGATTGCCCACAAGTCGGCCCAAGATGGCCTCGAAACGACCCAAGATGCATCCAAGAGGGCCAAGAGGGCCACAAGAGGAGCCCCAACAGGGTCCGACGAAGCTCAAAGCGTTGAACTTACTGTGGCGCTTGCACGGTGTTCGCCTCCTCGCCTTTTCGGGCCTCCGTCAGCTCCAGAACGGCCCAAGAGGCCTCCAAGATGGCCCCAAGACGGCCCGAGAGGCCCCAAAGAGGCACCCAAGACGGCCCGCGAGAACGTCATTGTGGTCCAAGAGGCAAGACGGCCCAAAAGAGCTTCCGGAGAGACCCAAGACGACCAAAGCTCTTCGACGGCCCAAGACGGCGCCACGACGGCCGCAGTGCACCCACCTCATGCGGCCACGAGGGCTCCAAGACGGCCCCCAAGAGAGCCCCCAAGACGGCCCAAAAGAGCCCTAAGAGTGGCCCGCGGGAACCCCCAGATCGCCCCTCCCACACCAGCCCTCGACGACCCAAATGAGCTCAATGAGACCACGAAGTGAAGATGAAAGACGTCTCATGTGACGGTCTTACATGTCCCCCTCGTCCTCCTTCTGCTCCCCTCCTCCTCCTCCTCCTCCTCCTCCACCGTCTCCTCCCTCCTCTTACTCCTGCCCCTCCTCCTCCTCCTCGTCCTCCCCCTCCTCCTCCTCCTCCTCCTCCTCCTCGTCCTTCTCGCCATCATCATCACCACCATTACCATTATCATCATCATCAGCATCATCATTACAATCGGCGTCGTAGTCGTCTTTGTCGTCGTCATCATCATGATCATCATGATAATCATCATCAGCAGCAACATCATAATCATCATCGTCGTCACCATCATCACCACCACCACCACCGTCATCATCATCGGCATCATCGTCATCATCATCGGCATCATCACCATCGTCATCGTCATGATGTCATCATCATCAGCATCCTCAACGTCGTCGTCGACGTCGCTATCGTCATCGTCATCGTCATCGTCATCAACGTCGACGTCGTCGTCATCATCATTGGAATCATCATCATCATCATCATCATCATCATCATCATCATTATCATCATCATTACCATCATCATCATCATCCTGGGCGTCGTCATTATCATCACCACCATCACCATCACCATCGTCACCATCATCATCATCAATATCGCCAGCACGCTCATCATCGTTATCATCATCGTCGTCATCATTAGTAGAATCATCATCGTGTCCTATGTATAATATCAGCCAGCGTTGACTCCAAATATATTAGACGACTCAGATCAAGGAATCAAGCATGCTTGGAATCCGCAACTCAACAAGCAAGCAAGCGTGCGAGCAAGCGCGCAAGCAAGCAAGCAAGCAAGCGTGCAAGCAAGCAAGCATAGGCATCGGCGGAGGAGAGCTCAGAGGTTGTCCATAGACATAGGCATAAGCATAGGCGGAGGAGCGCTCAGAGGTGGTGCATAGGCATAGGCATAGGCATAGGTACAGGCATAGGCGCAGGCATATGAGTTAGGGGGGAAGCATAGGCATAGGCACAGGCATAGCCATAGCCATAGTAATTAGAGGAGGGGGGCATAGGAATTAGGGGGAGGGGCGGGGGGGGGGGGGGGAACTGACCAACTAGTAGGGTTTGAGTTAGAACTCCTAAAAGGCAAGCCGATTTGGAGAATCACTACCGTTCTCAACCTCATTGTCATCCTCATCACCATCCTCATCCTCATCTTCATCCTCAACACACTAACCTTCAACATCCGCATCACGGCTCCCCAAAACCCTGGGGCACGAAAAGCCGCGCGTCACGGCCTTCCGTGTCCCGTCGGCCAGGCGCAGCCCAGAATGCTGGGCTGTCACGGTGGCGGGACCTGTCGCAGGCATCTGGAAGTCCATGCCCCCTACCCCGTAGAGGAACAAACACTGATATATATATATATATATATATATATATATATATATATATACGTATGTGACGTTGGAGCTAGGCCTTGCCAGCTCACATCATGTTCAATATGTGACTGAGGACCTTGATCTCCTGGATGCCGTGCTCGCAGCTTGTACGAAGGCGGCGCACACCTCTCGGAGTACGGCCCGATCGTCGCGTCGATCGTGAGGGTCAAGATGGCGAACGGCGTGGATATACATATACATATATATAGGTGTATATATATGTATATGAATATGTGTATACATATATGTATATATATAGGCCGCAGCACCCACCATGAACCCCCCTTTTCTCTTGGAAGATGCCAAGGAGAAAGGGAGGCGGGTGCGGTTGGAGTTTCGGGTGTCGCGTCGTGTTGTGGTGGTAGGATCTGGAGTACATGTGTGTGTTGGAGACGGAGGGAGCCTGTTGAGTATCGGGTGTTGTGTTGGAGAAGGAGGCTGTTGAGTACTGGGTGTTGTGTTGGAGACGGAGGGAGTTGAGTAGAAGGTTCTTTTCAAGTTCAGCTTGGGGAGGGAGCCTGTTGAGTATCGGGTGTTGTGTTGGAGAAGGAGGCTGTTGAGTACTGGGTGTTGTGTTGGAGACGGAGGGAGTTGAGTAGAAGGTTCTTTTCAAGTTCAGCTTGGGGAGGGAGCCTGTTGAGTATCGGATGTTGTGTTGGAGAAGGAGGCTGTTGAGTACTGGGTGTTGTGTTGGAGACGGAGGGAGTTGAGTAGAAGGGAGCTCAACAAGTATTCCAAAACAAGAGCCTCAAAAGTGAGTCCGAAAATCGTAGGAATCATATATAAATTCATATATCATCATGAGAAAGGGGGGTTCTTGGTGCAGCTGGGGGAGGGAGCCTGTTGAGTATCGGGTGTTGTGTTGGAGAAGGAGGCTGTTGAGTACTGGGTGTTGTGTTGGAGACGGAGGGAGTTGAGTAGAAGGTTCTTTTCAAGGTCAGCTTGGGGAGGGAGCCTGTTGAGTATCGGGTGTTGTGTTGGAGAAGGAGGCTGTTGAGTAATGGGTGCTGTGTTGGAGACGGAGGGAGTTGAGTAGAAGGGAGCCCGACAAGTCTTCCAAAAAATAGCCTCAAAAGTGAGTCCGAGAATCGTGGGAATCAAATATAACATCAAATATAATCATGAGAAAAGGGGGTTCTTGGTGGGTGCACAGGGCTATATATATACCTAAACATATACATCTACCTATACATATACATTTATGTGTATACATATATACATGCATATACATATACATATACTTAGAAATATGCGCATACATATACATGTACATATACATATGCACATGCATATACATATGCAAATACATATACATATACATATACATATACATAACCCTTCCGAGGTCTGCGCGGAGTTCTCGGATCGGTGCTGGACCCATCTCCCTGGCGCGCGGAGCGCGCCGGGGGGCGGCGCTGGAGGCGCCGCCGGGGGGGCTCCAGCACCGATCCACGGAGCCCGCGCGGGCCCTCCCAGCCCCGCCCCCCCCCGCCTCCTCTCCTTCCCCTGGCCCCTCCGCCACAGGGCTTCGCTGGATGGTAGAAAAAAATGTATGCCATGCTCTTGGTTCTCCGATTCGGACGGGGGATATTGAAGGGGCCCCAGGACACACAACTAAATACACACAAATCAAAATACCCCCTATATTTTCATATATTATCTGGGTTTCTGTCGTCCCCCCTACTTCCCATATTTTCCTGGGAATCGACGATTAATTGTGTCCGTGTGTTTTTTTCCCTCCTGAGATATGCCACGACGCGATTGGCTAAGGATGCGTCTCAGGTTTTCCAGGGTATCTGGCGGCCCTCGTCTTGCAGCCCCTGTGGGACATTCTGAAATCTGGGGAACCCCGGAAATACTGGAACGTTCCATGATCATGACCTCTTGCTCATCTGACCGGTGGCCCTTGCCCCCCCCCGTCGAGTTCGTTCCGAAGCCATGGTGGCCTTGTCGCCTCCGTGTCGACTCCGTGTCGAACCCGCGCCGAATCTGCGCCAAATCCGCGTCGAGTCCGCATCGAGCCCGCGTCGGGCGCAAGAAAAGACACTAACTTGGGGGACAGTAGAACAACTGAAAACCACAAACACATAAACTTTGCATCCGCGCCGGACACCCTCCCTGGCGCGCGGAGCGAGCCGGGGGCGGCGCCGGAGGCGCCGTTACGGTTGGCCCAGCGCGGCTCCAAGAAATCAGCGCGGAGCGCAAAACGTTTATGTTTATGGCGTTTTTTCTTCTTCGAGAGAGTCTGCATCGATCCCGTGTCGGGCACAAAAAAAGACACCAATGTTGGGGACCGGCGAGGTCCCAAGAAGGAGGTGCAACGTAAGGAACGTAGTGAACCAAACAACGAAGAGGGGGCCTATTTCTCCCCTTGAGGTTGAGGAGAAGGAGCAGGAGGAGGAGGAGGAGGAGGAAAAGGAGGATGAGGAGGAGGAGGAGGAGAAGGAGGAGGAAGAAAAGGAGGCGGAGGAGGAGGGGGAGGAGGAGGAGGAGGAGGAGGAGGAGGAGGAGGACGACGAGGAGGACGACGAGGAGGACGACGACGAGGAGGAGGGGGACGAGGAGGAGGAGGAGGAGGAGGAGGAGGAGGAGGAGGAGGAGGGGGAGGGGGAACGCAGTGACAAAAAAGACGACGAGGTCCCCCGACGGTGCCACGCAAGCCACCGCCCCGCCGGGGCCTCGCGATGGGCAGGCCACGGCTCGCGATGGGCAGGCCGCCGCCGAGGGCTCCCGCGGCCGCCGGCGCCTCCGCCGCGGGCGCCTCGCTGGGGGGCGTCGGCGGCGATGGCGACGAGGGCCGCACCGGGGAGCCAGCAGAGCCGGCCCGTATCACAAGGATGCACGATGAGGCACCCTTGGGAAGGTTTGGCCGAGGTCTAAGTCGGGCCTGTCCCCAGACAGGGGGATTTTCGACGGAAAAAAAATACCCCTAAAATACTCCAAAAAGGTTACAAAATACTCAAAAAATAGTCCCCAGGATGCACGATGAGGCGCCCTTGGGAAGGTTTGTCGGGCCGGACGAAAGGGGGGGATTGGGAAAGGGGGGGTTGCGAAGTTTGCTGCATGCAGCCGGTTTCGGCCTCACCGAGGAGCCCATTCCTCGATACACAGGTAGCCGCCTCCGGCGCCGGGAGGCGCTGGGAAGATCAGCTACGTGAGCTGATTCTCACCCCCCCCCTTTGCTATCCCCCCCTTTCGCCCGACCCGAGTTTGGCCGAGGTGCAGTTGACCCATGTCATAAGGATGCGCAACAGAGATGCAAGGGCCATGGACGACGTCTCGAAGCTTTTCGAGCGGGGCGCGGCCAGCGAAAGGGGGCAAGGACGAGGAGGCAAGGATGTAAGGGTACCCTTGACCCTGACCTTCCAGGACGGCTAAAAAATAGCACCCGACCTAAGAGACCTATCCTAGAGCTATTCTACGTCTTGGTTTTAGGCAGTTTCGCTCAGCTTTTTAGGTTTTTGGGCCTCCAGTGCTAAAAAATGGCTCTCCGGAAGGTCAGGGTTGGGAAGGTGGCCCGTCCTTGCCATGCGGGTCGGCTGTAAGGGGCGGTGTGGCTTCGGGCTGCGCACAGGCAGCCCCCCGAGGCAGCCCCGGCTGGCCTCCACAGGCCACCCCGAGGAGCCCCGGGGCGGTCCCCCCTGCGGCGGCGCCCCCCGGGGCGCTCCGCGCCCCAGGCTTTTGAGGCGACGAGACCGCCCAGACTACAGTCGGATGCGCGATCTGGCCATCGCTCGGACGTCCATTCCCTGTGCATTTTTTTGTTCGGTTTCGTGCGTGTTGCTTTCGCCAGATGGTCGAGGATGATCCTCGACGGTCCTCGCCGAAGGAAAAATGCACACGTCCGAGCGATGCCAAGCGATAAGGATGCAAGGGGCCTTGGACGCCCAATTCGAAGCTGTTCGAACGGGGCGCGGCCAGCGAAAGCGGCCAAGAATGGACCGATCCTTCCAAGGATGCAGGGGTAATTACCCTTGGGAGGGTTGCCAGTGCGTACCATGCGGCTTGACTGTAGCGGCATGACCACGCAGTCGGGGCGAGGAATAAGGAACCCTTTTCGTTGGGGATGTGCTCAGTGTTCCTGAATTGTTGTGTATTATGTCTTAGGTTGTTTGTCTTTAGGTTTTCGATTGAACTCGAAGTTTAACTTATGGTTAAAAGGGACCTCGTTCCGTATTTAGGTTTTCTTGTGAGGGCGTTTCGGCTATGAACTTTCAGAGGTCCGCGCGGATTTTTCCGATCGGCGCTGGCCCCCCAGAGCGCCGCACCCCTCTGGAGGGCCAAGAGACCGCGCTCCCCAGTGTCGCCATCGCGCTCGACTTAGCCGGGGGCGACGAACGCTCGCGATTGGCCGATTCGCCTAAGCACCGAAAGCGGGCGCGGACAATCGCACCTGGGAATTGCGACCTTGCCCAAGCGTGAGACGGAAATGATTGAACGCCCTCCCCTGTCGGCTCCCCTTGTTTCATGATCAGCTGGATCGTTTTTCCTGTCAGGTGTCGAGGAGGCTGGCGCACAGGCTGCCGCATGCCAGGGGTGCTCTCCGCTCCCGCGTCCAAAATTCCGACGGTGCTCTCCACCACCACGTTCCCATTTCCACCAAGATCATCCACTTACGAATTAGTGCTTCTGGCGGTACCGTCTACAACCGATGTCATCCTGACTGCATCGATCTCCGTCGACCTGGTGGTACTCTTAACGATACGTTGAACTCCCGCGTTCGCACTTCCAGCAGAGCCACTGGCCGCTGGGTTCCCGCAGTGATATTCCCCGATGTCCAATAGCTGGGATTCTTGTTGATACTCAAGCCGCGCCGAGGACCCACCCAGTCACTTCCTCTCCTTCTCCTCCCCTCACGCAGACTCGCACTTTCGACGATGATAACAGCGACGATGATGGTGATGATAATGATGATGATGATGATGATGATGATGATGATGATAAAATGATGAGATGATGATGGTGATGATGATGATGACGACGATGCGGATGATGATGATGATGATGATGATGATGATGATGATGATGATGATGATGATGATGATGATAAAGATGATGATGATGTCGTTGATGCTGATGCTGGTGATAATGAGTATGGTCATGATGATGGTTGGCAATATGGTGGCTTTGATGGTGATGATGATGCTGACAGCAATGACGACGAGGGTGATGATGATGATGATGATGATGCTGATGATGATGATGATGATGATGATGATGAACATGACAATGATGATGTTTATGATGATGCTTATTGTGGTGGTGATGGTGGTGATGGTGGTGATGATGACAAAGTGTGGTGAGAAATCTGATGATGATGATTATGATGATGATTATGATGACGATGATGATGATGATGATGATGATGATGATGATGATGATGATGACGACGGAACAGATGTTGAGGATGTCTCAGGCGAGGCGCTGGTTTCAGCACACCCGAAGGGGGGCGCCAGGGGGGCATGATACGGGCCCGATCGCGCCCTGATTGTAGGGACGTCGCGAGCGGTTTGCCTGATTGCGTACCCAACATCCTCCGCTTTCGAAACAGATGTTGAGTATGTCTCGGGTGAAGCGCGGGTTCTCGCACCACTGGCGGCCAAGATTGCGAGACTGTCTCGAGCGGTTTGCTTGTTTTGGTGGTCAGACTCGTCTGCGTTTAGAACGGATTCTGATGTTGTCTCGGGCAATATCAGCATAGCCAAGAACGCCATTGGGGGTTGTGACACGGGCCCTTTCGCGTCCAAATTGCGGGGATGCCTCGAGCGGTTTGCCTCTCCGCTTTCGGAGCAGATTTGGAGGACGCATCGGGCGAGGACATGGCTTTCGCACCCCAAGGATCCCATATTTGGAGGATGTATGAAACGGGTGGAGAAGGAGGAGGAGGAGGAGGAGGACGAGGAGGAGGAGGACGAGGAGGACGAGGACGAGGAGGAGGAGGAGGAGGAGGAGGAAGAGGAGGAGGAGGAGGAGGAACCGAGAGAGAGAGAGAGAGAGCCGTGCTCCGAGGGGCGACTCCCTCCGAGGGGCAGGGCTCGCCTCCGCCCGAGAGCTCGCCCCCAGGGACGCCGCGCGGACCCCGCGCAGGGTCGCCAGGAAGTGGTCGAAGTCGATGCTCTGGTCCTCGGCCGCGAGCGGGGCCAAGGCTCCCCCCAGCGATGCCCGATGCTGCTGGTCAGGCCGGTGCCCCCCCCCCCCTCTCTAAGACGAGACCAAGATCGGACAACCTCGGATCGGAATAGATCAAAGATCTCTGAGATCCCGTCTCGGCTCAGCTGCCCCGATACGCAACACGCAACACGTATCGTATTGATACGGACCTCAACACGTAGGCTGAAAACGTAGGTCCGACGCGATACATTCGCCAAAACGTGGTCCAATACGTGGAGCCAGCACGCAACGTGTTGACACGGACGTCTCGAACACGGGACGTGTTGCGTTTCAAAACGCGCGTATCGACGCAACGAAGCGTCTCTGAGATCCGGCTGCTCTGGAGGGTGCCTCGGGCGCCGCGGTCGCCTCAGAGCGCTCCAGAGCGCTCTGAAACGCTGCGGAACTCTCTGGGGCCACATAATTATCCAGATCCTGTGCCTGCCTGGCTCTTGGAGCTTTTTTTATAAAAAAAGACCCTGGCAAGTTTACTTGCATGGACTTGGCATCGCTCGGACGTGTGCTTTGTTTTTCTCGGCGAGGACAATCGAGGAGCATCCTGGACCATCGAGCAAAAAAACACGCACAAAACCAAACAGTACACGGGGAATGGACGTCCGAGCGATGGCAAAAGAACGGGGGGGGGGCCCGAGCTTGAAGGCAGCCGCAAACGCCTTGCAGGTGCGGAAACCGCGCAAGTCGAAAGGCACTTGCACGCCAGTGCTCGTCTGAAGAGGGGCGATGGGGGGCGGGGGGGAGGCGAACGCCGTGCCAGTAAACTTGCCCGAATCTAAAAAAACTTGTTTTGTTCTCCAGGGCGAGAGCGAACCTCTTCCGCTGAAAGCTAAGCGGGCCGCGCACAGCTTTAATTGGCAGAGAAAGGGCGGAAGAAGGCGGGGCCTCACGCGGCCAGGGGCGGGCGAAGCCCAGGGATCAGGCGGTGCCAAACGGGGACGTGCAGGAAAAGGTACACCTTGGACAGGAGCCCAGGGGTGAAGTCCCGGGAGGATAAAAGCCGGTGGTGTAGCCGTCAGCGGAATCTAAAAAAACAGGCCCTTCCCGGACTCTTGCCTCGGTCCTCGGCCACCGGAGGGGGCCCGGGTGCTGGTACCCAGGCCTGGAGAGCGGCCCAGGAGCCTGAGCCCCTCCCCGGGTCCAGAGGGGTCCTCGTGTCAACGTGCTCGTAGGGAGACCGGGTACTAGTACCCAGGTCTGAAGAGCGGCCCAGGAGCCCGAGCCCCTCCCCGGGTCCAGAGGGGTCCCTGTGTCAGCGTGCTCGCAGGGAGAGGATTTTCAGCTCTGGCGTCGCGACCTTTGTTTGGATCGCCTCTCTGACATTCCAGCGTTGTGCCCCGAATCTTTGGAGGCAGAGCTACAGTTGCGGACGCCATGACAGTGGACACTCCAACTATCGTTGGATTAAGCATGTCTTTCAGATGTCTTCTGCATGTCTTGAAACATATTCGACACATGTTGAAAACATACTCCAGCACTTTACAGCAACATGTGTTACACATGTGAACGTTATTCTATGCGACGTTTCGGCATTGGGCGGAAGGGGGGGGGGAGGGGGGGGGGTCTGGCTGCGGACCTTTGCTTCGTGCGACCGTTTGGGACCGTGCGTCCTCTGGGGGAGGGACTCCACCTGCTCGAAACATGCGCCCAAAACAGACAGCCAAGATCCACTCCAGGGGGGGGGGGAGAGAGGGGGGGGGAGCGAGGGGTCGCGCCGATCGGCAAAACCACGAACAAAACAACGACCCCCATGTTTTGCACATCCTGGGAACTGATTGGCAGCGCGCCTCCTCTCCACGTCGGGCTGGGCGAAAGGGCGGGATAGCAAAGGGGGGGTTTGAGAACCAGCTCACGCAGCTGATTTTCCCGGCGCCTCCCGGCGCCGGAGGCGGCCATGTATCGAGGAATGGGCCTCTCGGTGGGGCCGAAACCAGCTGCATGCAGCAGATTTCGTACCCCCCCCCTTTCCCCTGACCTTCCAGAGAGGTATGTTTTAGCACTGGAGACCTAAAAACCTAAAAAGCTGGGCGAAACAGCCTCAAAACCAAGACGTAGAATAGCCTTGAGATGGGTTTTGAGGTCGGGTGTGTTTTTGCCTTCCTGGAAGGTCAGGGCCCCTATCCCCCCTTTCCTCCGGCCCGACAACACGGATCGTCTTCCACGGAGCCGCAGGCCGCCACCGCGAGAGCGGCCCTCCCGTGCCCGTGCGCCCAGCCCCGGGGGGGCGGGCGCACGAAGCCCGAAGGGGCCTGCCGACGGCACCCCCGCCGCCCGGCGCCCCTCGCGGGAGGCGTCTGCGCGGCGACGCGCTCACGCCTGCCGGCTTATAGAGGGGGGGGGGGGGGGGGAAAGGAGGGGGGGGGAGGGGGGAGGGAGGGGGGGGGGGGGAGGAGGGATAGGGGGAGGGGGGCGGGCGGGGAGGCTGCGGGAGAAGTAGGAGGAGGAGAAAGTGGAAGAAGAAAAAGAAGAAGAAGAAGAAGAAGAAGAAGAAGAAGAAGAAGAAGAAGCGGGACGAGGGAGGAGAAGATACGAGGGAGAAGAAGAGGAGGGCTTGTGGCACAGGAGGCGGCCGGAGCGGAAGGCTGGGGCTCGAAACAGCAGAAGCATGGAGAAACAGGAGGACGGACAAGTGGATGATGGGGTAGGAGAGGAGGGAGAACGAGAGAGGGGACATGAGAGGGGGGGATGAACGACATCAGAACGCGGGTGAGTGAAAAAGCCACAGGGTGAGATGGGGAGAATAGAGAAGCGAGAAACCGTTTCGTCGTGCTGTCGCACTCCACTCCGCGCGGGTCCCGGGCGCCAACATCGAAGGGCGGAAGGGAGAATCGAGCAGTGAGTAGCGAGAATTACATTACCACCCGACGCCATTTCCAACGCTCTCTTCCCGGCTTCTGTTCCCTCATCGTGGTTCTTGCATACGTGTCCTTATCCGTTCCCAATCCTCCTCCGCCGAATCCTCATCTTCCTGCTCTACTCTGTTCCATTCAATATCTTCCTCCACCACTTCCGTATGTTCATTCATTGAACATCTCAATTTCTGCGTAGATGTCCACCCTTCGGTCCTTGCGAGAAGGGCTGACTACATCGGTGTCGCCGTCGAGGAGCTGCGTCCAAAGCTCATCCATGAGCTCCTCGGAACTGCTGGTTGGGGCTCAAAGGCGACAGCCGAGGACAGCAGCAGAAGAAGAAGAAGAAGGGACGCAGGCGGTCGAGGCTGAATGCGCGACACGATGTGGTGGCGCCGGCAGAGAAGCAACCGAGGGAATATGTTTCTGTCTGTCTCTCTCTCTCTCTCTTTCTCTCCCTGTCCCATAGTTATATACCTATGCGACCACCCTTAGGGTGATAAGGAGGTTGGTGGGTGGAGGGAAGAACAAACTGACGACAACTGCTGTAATGATGACGATGCTGGTGATGCGCCCTTGAGTTGGCGACGACGCGTGGCGACGATCCTGCGCAGCGATGTGATCCCACTATCGACCCCACTCGATCGATCTCACCACGGGACACTGACAGGACACCGACGGGACACCGACGGGACACCAATGGGACACCGACGGGACACCGACGGGACACCGACGGGACACCGACGGGACAACGACGGAACAGCGACGGGACAGCGACGGGACAGCCACGAACACCAACAGGACACCAATTGAACAACGACAAGACACCACGGCGGGACAACCTGGCCACAGCCCGCCCACCGCGGGGGAGAGGCAGACAGCGACGGAACACCACGGCGGGACAACGCCACAGCGGGGTCATTCCTCTTGCCAGCCCACGCAGCTTCGCCTCACCCGCACTCGCGCACGACACGAAACCGAAACCGAAACCGATTTCCCCGTGGGGGGCCCTCCGTTCCAATTCGAGCTCACCCCCCAACCTCCGATACATATATCTGTATATCTCTCTCTCTCTATATATATATATATATATATGTATATGTATGTACATGTATGTGTAAAATTATGTATGAATGTTGATATATATATATATATAGAGAGAGAGAGAAAACGAAAAAATCCGCCTCCGTGCCGCGAGGGACGAATTGGAATGCCCTGACTCAAGTCTCTTGTAGTCCTCAGCTCTCAGTCCTCAAGATTGGATATCCAAAGAGCCCGTGCCTCTAATCCTCAAGTTGTCCCCGGCTCTCTGCGTGCCTCCCGCGGTTCTCCGGACTTCCTCGGAGCCCAAAGCGCCCCCTCAACGGGCCAAGACGGCCCCGAGACAGGCACGGTGGCGAGATGGACCGAGGGCCATTACACACATATCTGCCGACCCTGTCGGCGTGTGACAGGGGCTGTACCGTCGCCATCGCCGTCGCTGCCGCCGTCGCGTCGCCGCCGCCATCACGTCCCCTCCTTCCCCTGAGTCCGTCGCCGCTCCCCCCCTTTCCTTGGGCCCTCGTCCTCAAGCACGCCGGCCGAAGCGAAACGCACCAGCCCATCCACAGCGAAATTAGGCAACGTTGTCATTGAGTCGAAGGAAAGCCCCTTCCCTTTGACCCCTTCCCCGCGGAGAGGGAAGTGGTGGGGGAGGAGCGGGGTCCCAGGGGGGGGGTCCCAGGGGGTGGTCCCAGCGGGTGGTCCCGGGTCAGAATACCACCCTCCCGGGGCCCATGGCCCGCCCTCTCCCTCCGATTTCCGTCGAGGGCCGAGGCCTCCAGGGTCGGCGGCATCGGCCGGAAGGCCTTCGCAATGTGTATACATATGTAGATATATGCACACGCACCTATAAACATATACATATATACATATATCTGTATATGTGTATGTATGTATGTATGTATGTAGGTAGGTAGGTAGGTAGGTAGGTAGGTAGGTAGGTAGGTACGTATGTATGTATGTATGTATATATGTATGTATGCATGTATGTACATATATACACCTACAAATTCATACACATGCTTGTAAATATACATACATACATACATACATACATACATGCAGACAGACAGACAGACAGAGAGACAGACAGACAGACAGACAGACAGACAGACAGACAGACAGACAGACAGACACATAAGACAGTATAGGTCCCCCAAACATGGCTTGCATGTAAGGGGTTCTTCATTGTTCCCCCAGAGAATTGGACCCGTCTGTCCGTCCGGCGGCTATGTGGCCACCGTCGCCGCCCTGTCGCCACCTCGTCGCCGCCCGTACCTGGGCCTGTCTGTCAGCTTGTCGGCCATGTTGCCGCCGTCGTCGCCCGGCCGGCCCAGATTTGCGCGCGCCGGCGCGGCCCGGGCGGATTTGCAAATCGCGCTGGCGCGGCGGGGCCCAAGTTTGCACGCGCCTGGGCCTGGCTGTCAATCTGGCGGCTATGTTGCCGCCGTCGCCGCCTCGTTGCCGCCTCGTCGGCGCCCGTGCTTGGGCCCGTCGGTCGGGTCTGGAGGATGTGTTGCAGCCGTCGCCGCCCTGGCATAGACTGCGCAACGAGCCGTGCACCACGGAGATTGCACCACAGATATTGCACAACATAGGTCGCACCACATGGATTGCTCATCGTAGATTGCACAACATGGACTTCACCACATACATTGCACCACAAAAATCTTACCCCATACCCCACCCCGATGCCAAGACGATCCCTGCTTTGGGGCTGAGCAATTTACATAGGGTTCTGCCCCATCGTTCATTAGAATCGACTGCACGCAGGAATGATCCTAGGTTCGAGTGACCTTTGGAGCGCCCGCGGGGGCCCAACGCAACGCGCAAGCCAGCATTACCGCGCCGCATCAACGATCGGCGGGACGTCACTCGAACGATTTTTCGCGCCAGCGGGCAGCCGCGGAATTCCGCTAATAGGACCCGAACGCATCGAATGGCATTTCTAAGGCGTTGCGACAGCAAATGCTGCCGGGGCTCACCGCGATGAGGTCTAGCACTACTGGGCCGCATCGCGATGACGACTGACGAAGTCCGGCATCATGGCCTAAACGGGCCCCATCAGCGGGCCCGGAATATGTTTGAATATCTTTGCGGACGATTTGCGGTTTGGGCTGGGATTCGGAACGGTCCTGGGGCGGATAACCCACCGTCCGGTCGAGCAGTCCCCCGTCGGGAAACCAATGCACATTATAGGGCGCGCCGCGTATGCGTTACTGTCGATTGCAAAAGAGGTCCCATCTTTGGCGCGCTCAGATGCGAGCACAGTCGCGCGATGCGCGAGCCGACCCGAAGTCAAGGTCCTTCTAAAATAAAATCACTCGACATCAGTGGGGCCAGCACAAAGGGTCACTCTAGCGGAAGGTCACTCTTACGTATGATCGATCCAACAAAATGAACTTGTATCATCCCTGCCAAAACGGGTTCGACCCCCAACCCACCAGTCTCTGCAACAAATGCAATGCGAGCGCACTTGTTTATCACAAATCATCAACGTTCAAGAGCCCCTTGCACCACAAAAATGGAACAACGTGCTCGCGCGCGCGTCGTCGCGCGCATACCGAAATCCTTCAAACATTGACGGTTTCATAAGGGTGTCAAGATTGGGTGACCCGAAAACATACAAAATACATGGTTTTGCAGCATCAGCTCTCCCCAACAAAATGCGCGAGGGCTCTTGCACAGTCTCAGAAGAACTGAATTGTCCCACAACGTTTTCAAAGTCAAGTGCGACCAAGCGTGCCATTCGCACGCGCATGTCAAAATCAATTGATCGCCCTTGCGCACGTGCTGGGGGGGGCACGATCCCGGTCAAAAAATTCAATGCGGGCCACTCGCGCCCGTCGGCGGCGCGCGCATGTCGAAATCCCTCCATGACCTTCATCGCCGACGGGCGCATCACCAACGCGTGGACACCATCATCGTCATCGGCTTGATCAGCATCGGCGCCGTCATTGGCTTCGCCATCGTCATCGTCATCGTCGCCACAAGCATTGCTGCAATCATAACCTTGCCTGCCGTTATCGACGTTGGCATGAAACCGCGCCCGCCCAACTCACCGATTCGCACTGAACTGCCCATGCATCAGCGCGGCCAGTGAGGCGCGCTCGGAAGACGCCAGCGGTCAGCGCCACCGCGGCCGCCTCGTCGACCCAAACTTTCTGGCCGCTCTGCGCACGAGCCTGCGTTCGCTAACGCGGCCGCAGCGAGGCGCCTGCTAGCGCCAAGTGAACACCACACTGACCGCCCATTGGCATTTGCAAACCAGGTTGCGGGTGGGTGGCTGAAATGATTGCGCGAGCAGTGGAATTGACAACTCACTACGCACCGCGCGCAATGCACCGCATAGCTTGCGCCACGTACTTCGCACATCATATCATCATATATTGCACAACATGTACTGACCACATACATTGACCACATTAGTTACCCCCCCACCCACATATTGCGCCACGCACGACATGAACTGTACCACACAATTCGCACCACATAGATTCTCCTTTCTACAAACAGAATAGCATCTACCCCCCCCCCGGCGTTATCACTCCCCCTTTCGGGTTACGTAAATCATATATAATTCTGACCACATCTCCATCCTAAAAATGAATTTACATATCCCAGGGGGGCCGGGTTCCCCCCCTGAGGGTCCCTTGTAAAAAACACTATGCGGTGACATTTTTTGTTCTAACATAGCACGTGTTCACGAATCCCTTGCAAAAAATGGGACGAAGTGCGCACGCGCGCGTCGTCGCGCGCGCATGCCGAAATCCTTCAAACACATTCGGTGTCGGAAGGATTTCGCAATCGAGTTTCCAAAACAAGCATACAAAAACACAAGGTTTCACAACACTGAGTTGCTAAACAATCCGCGCGAGCTCTTGCGAAATCTTAAGAAAACCATAGGTTTTCTCAAGATTTTAGATTTTCACAGAATTCTATTAAACGGGCTTCGCGCGCGCGCATGTCGAAATCTGTCGAACGCCCTTGCGCGTGTGCCGTCGAGAATCCTCTACAAAAAAATGGGACGAAGTGCAGACGCGCGCGTCGTCGCGCGCGTATGCCGAAAACCTTCAAAACCCATTGGCTTCGGAAGGACCTCAAAATCGTGCCCAACAAAACTTTCAAAAGCACAAGGTTTCGCAACACGGATTTTCAACAAAAGCGTGCGCGCGCGCTCTTGCGTCGTCGTCGTCGTCGCCGCCCTCCCTCCTCCCGCGTCGTCGTCGTCGTCGCCTACGTCGTCCTCTGTCTTTCCTCGTGTTCGTCGTCGTCGTCCTCTTTGGCGTCGTGGTCGTTTCCGTCGTCGTTGTTGCCGTGGTCGTCCTTCCTCCTCCTCCCTCGTCGTCGTCGTCGTCCGTCGTCGGCGTCTCGTCGTCGTCCCCCCTATTTCGTCGCCGTCGTCGTCGTCGCCGTTGTCGTCGTCTTCCCTCCTCCCTCGTCGTTGTCGTCGTCGGCGCCGCCGTCCTTCCTCCTTCTTCGTCGTTCGCGTCGTCGCCGTCCTCCCTCCTCCCTCGTCGTTGTCGTCGTTGTCGTCGTTGTCGCAGTCGTCGCCCTTCCTCCTCTCTCGTCGTCTTCGTTGGCGACGTCGTCGTCGTCTTCGTCGTCGTCGGCGTCGGCGTCGTTGTCGTCGTCGAAGTCGTCGGAGACGTCGTCGGTGTCGTCGTAGTCGCCGTCGTCGACGTTGTCGTCGTCGTCGTCGGCGTCGTTGACGTCGTCGTCGTCGTCGTCGGTGTCGTCGTTGTCGTCGTCGAAGTCGTTGGAGACGTCGTCGGTGTCGTCGTAGTCGGTGTCGGCGCCGCCGTCGTCGTCGTTGTCGCAATCGTCGTCGGTGTCGTGGCCAACTGTCATGTGGTACGTACCGTCACGGTCGTGTCTCAAGAGGTCTTGCGACCAAGTTGCGGGTGGGAGGGTAGGATGTTTGCACGAGCAGCGGAGAGGACAGCTTCCAGACGGTCAAAGATTAATTGCACCACGTAGGTTCTCCTGTCTTACCATGAAAAATACGGATCCCCCCCCTGGCCCCCTGGTTCGACCCCCTCCCCTGATCTCTGACGAATAGTACTAAGCGCGTGCACTCGTTAATCAACGATCACCCAACTGCTAGAACTCCTAGCCAAAATTTTGGGCCAAGTCCACACGCGCGCGTCGTAGCTCGCGTGCGCAGGAATATGTCAAACACCTTCGGTTTCGTAAGGATTTCAAGATCGAGGTCCCCGAAACCATGTGAAACAAATGGCCTGCGTGCGCACTCTTGCGAACTCTTGCGCAAATTGTGAATTTTACCGCATTGTCATAAATTCGATCAAGCGGGTTTCTCGGGCGCGCACGTCGAAATCATGCGCATGCCCTTGCGCGCTTGTTGGGGGGGGAGCACGCTCCTCGCCAACTTCTTCGGGCCACTCGCGCCCGTAGACGCTGGATCACCATCTCTGGCTCTGGCTCTTCGGGATGCCTCTCCTCTGGACTGCTGCGCCTACGGCAAGCTTGGTCAGGCTGCTGCGACGGGCTGGGTTGCCGATTGAGCGCCCGAGTTATCCGGGGTATCTCGGGCCCGTGGTGACTCGGGTTTGGATTCCCGAGAAAACGAACCCAAGTCGGCCCTGACCCGAGTTGCCCCTGATGATGTTGGGCTCTGGACGCCCGAATTATCCGGGGTAACTCGGGCCCAGGGTAACTCGGGCTTGGATTCCGAAAAACGAACCCGACTTTGCCCCCGAGTTACCCCTGATGATTCGGGGCTCTGAGCCGACGCTTGTGCTCGTGGTCGCAATGTCGGATCGACGGCGTCGGCGCCGGTCCCTTTCAGCTTGGAGCCCTTCGGGTGCAAACCCGCTGGTGGCTCGACCCTGGTGCCCACTCCATGCAGGCGCCGGCTGCTGAGTGCCCAGCGAGAGTCGTTTAGGATGGGCCACTGGGGCAAGGATGCAAGGGTACCCTTGGGAAGGGTGCCCATCCTTACTATGCGGGTTGACTGTACTCCCCATACTGACTCGTTTGGCGTCACTGGCCTGGGTTTGCCAAGGTGGCCCCGCCTCGACAGCCTCGACGATCGGCCATGCCGTTCCGATCAAACACCCTGGTCAACCAGGGTTTTCGCTTCCTCTGAAGATGCCCCCAGGCGTCAAGGAGAATGCTAATAGACCTCTGCCGATTTGGCCATGCTTGCAAGGCACGGCTTAAGTTCCCTCTACATCCTACCTCCTCGCCCCCCCCGCTACATCTCACCTTCCGCCCTCTGAGACGAATGTGAGATTGCTTCAGGCAGCTTTGCACACAACGATCGGTTCAAGCATAACGCCAAAAAGAATAAAAGAGTCCTCGCTGAATGTGTCTTTCATGCTGGCGGTCTTCATGACCTGAGGCGTCGGCATCCCGTGGGAAGCGGAATCGCAGAAGAACAACACCATCGGTCCGCTCGACTGCAGGGGACAAGCTGGGGGACTGCGCAGAGGCGCACGTCCGTGCTGCTCCCTCCTGAACGGTCGTCGTACTACGCAATTGGGCAACTAGACGTGCGCGTCTTGTGTTTGTTCAGCACGCGGCCACTGGAAAAGTCCCGACCCTCTCCCCGGGGGCCGTTTTGGACGCCCGAAATGGGTACGGAAAGACTGGGTACGATGCCCAACAGCAGTTCCTGTCCATTCCGAACAGGACTCGCGGTCGGTGTCGCCGCGGCCTGTGTCCATTCGAGACAGCAGGCCGCCCGCCCAGCAGCGGCCGCCGTTGGTTTGGGACAACATTTGTTGTTGGGCACTGTACCCATTCTTTGTACCCATTTCGGGCGTCCAAATCAGAGCTCAGAGGATGAGGCAGAGGACCTGAGGACACGCCCACTCCGTGCCCAGCGGCACGGTGGCGGGTCAGAGGCACTGCGCACAGACAGCCCCCGCAGGTGGTCCTGGCTGGCCTCAACAGGCCCCCCCGAGTAGTCCAAGGCGGTCCCGCTGTTTGTTTGGGGGAAGGATTGCAAAAAAACCCTGGATTGCAAAAAAACCCTGGATTGCAATCCTGTTTTTTTGCAATCTTTTGGTTTTTTTGCAATCTTTTGGGTTTTTTTGCAATCAGTTGTTGTTGGGCACTGTACCCTGCCTTTCCGCACCCCTCTCGGGCGCCCAAGGGCCAGTGTGTGTCGTCGAGGCCGAGGCCGGAGGAGGGCACCCCCCCGAGGCCGAAGACTGCCGCAGGCACGCGGCGTTCGCGAGACGCCGCGCGTCTCTCCCGGGCTCGCCCCGGCGCGCGTGCGGCTCGCCCCTGCCGCGCCAAGAAGCAGAACAAAGTTTAAGTCGGGCGTGTCCCCCTACAGGGGGAGTTTCGACGAAAAATCATAAATATCCCCAGAATAATTGAAAAAGTAGTTCAAAAATGGTCTGGGGACTATTTTTTGAATATTGTCTTACCTTTTTTGGGTATTCTTGGGGTATCTTTTATTTTTCGTCGAAAATCCCTCTGTAGGGGGACAGGCCCGACTTAAGGCAAAGTGTTGGCCCGCTCCCCCCCCCAGTCTCACGTCGCGCAGACAAGCGCAGTGACAAGATGCGAGGTGCAGCGGCACAAGGATGGCGGGAGGAGCAGGGGGCAGGAAGACGGCACTTGCATGGGGCAGGCAGTGGCGGCAGCTTTGCTTCACACTCGTGAATCAGCGTTTTTTTCTCACAGCGCGAGCAGGTCTGGGTCCGTTGGCGGCGCGCAGAGGGGGGTATGGGGGAGGGGGGAAGGCTTCTTAGAAGGAGGCTGCCTTTAAGAAACCTTCCCCCCTGCCCCGACCCCCATCCGCGCGTGGCTGAGTCTGGTTGAGTAGGGACCAACCGTCCCGGCATTCCTGTAGGCCTACCACGACAAGTTCTTGGAACCCACGAATGTTCCAATAACGAAAACAGTTGTCTTAGAACATTCACCCGCCGCGCTAAAACAAGACAGCCTCTGCCAGAAATGTCCTGAGAACATCTCTCGTGGAAACCACGAAGGGTTCTGAGAACACTGTTTGGCAGGCCTATAGGCACGCCAGGACGCTTCGCCACTGCTTGACCCTAACCTCCTCCGCGCGTGGCTGAGTCCAGCAGCAGCCAGCAGCAAGACGGCCCAGCAGCCGCCGCCGAGGCACGCCGGCTCGGGAGGGCGCGCCCGGCCCGGCGGCCCCATGAGGGCGAGCCTCCGCGAGCTCGTTGTAGCTGATGGTCCCGTTGCCGTCCTGGTCGAAGACCTGGCGGTTGCCACCGCAGGGAAATAGAGGGCAAACCATCCACCCCTGATAATAATCACCCCGGCACGCGAGGCCGTGCAGCAAACGCACCCAAAGAAGGAATCCATCACACAGGGCAGGGATGTTGAGTAAACGCCCAGGGCCGTTTAGAAAACGCCAACTGTCCGGTCCGGGTGTTTTTTCCTCCCTCGAGGGATAGGAGGAGGAGGAGGAGGAGGAGGAGGAGGAGGAGGAGGAGGAGAAGGAGGAGGAGGAGGAGGAGGAGGAGGAGGGGGAGGAGGAGGGAGGAGGAGGAGTTGGAGGGGGGGGAGGAGGCGGAGGAGGAGGAGGAGGAGGAGGAGGAGGAGAGGAGGAGGAGGAGGAGGAGGAGGAGTTGGAGGAGGAGGAAGACGAGAGGAGGACGAAGAGGAGGAGGAGGGAGGAGGAGGAGGAGGAGGAGCGAGGAGGAGGAGGAGCAGGAGGAGGAGGAGGGGAGAGGAGGAGGAGGAGGAGGAGGAGGAGGAGGAGGAGGAGGAGGAGGAGGAGGAGCAGGACGAGGAGGAGGAGGAGGAGGACGAGGAGGAGGAGGAGGAGGAGGAGGAGGAAGACGAGCAGGAGGAGGGGGGCCTCCTAGAGGTGCTCGCGCCGTGCACAAGAGCAAACGTCGCGACGGACCTCTGCGGCGGCGCGCGGTGCTAGGCCTCCGCGGGCCCCCGCGGGGGCTCCGGCGCGGTTCAGGAGCGCATCGGGATGACTTCTGGGAAACGCGTTTTTTTGCTCAACCACCCCCAGTTGCCGTCGCTCGGACGTCCATTTCCCGTGCGTTTTCCGGTTTCGGGCGTGTTTTTTGTGTGCTCGATGGTCCAGGATGGTCCTCAAGGGTCCTGGCCGAGAAAAAAATACACACGTCCGAGCGATGCCACTCGTTACTCGGGTTTCGGCGGGGCCCCCCCATCGGCCTCGAGGAGTCCCAGGGGCTCTCGGGGGCTCTCGGAGGCCCTGGGGTTAGGTCGGGCCTGTCCCCGTACAGGGGGATTTTGGACGAAACATAAACAATACTCAAAAAATACTCAAACGATGCCCAAAAATACTCAAAAGATGGTTCCCAGACTATGTTTTGATTATTTTGGAATATTCCCCCTGTAGAGGGACATTCCCCTGTAGAGGGACAGCGCGTGCTGGAAAAATCAGGGGGGTCACGGAGTGGGGGGTCCCCCGGGCGGGGTCACGGGTCAGAATGCGCTGACCCCCGTCCGCCTTTCGGGCAATCGTCGAGCCAGTCTGGGCCCCTTTCGAAAATCCAAATCTCAGACGCACACGATGGCCCTACGGTCGGCGTTGGAAAGATAGCGCGCAGCATCGACCTCTGAGAAGCACGCTATCCCTGTGAGGCGCTTCCCCTCGAGGGCCCCTTCTGCGCACGCTATCCCCCTGCCGGGGCCTCTCTGGCGCACGCGATCCCCAAGGTGGGAGGTAGCGTGTAATCAGCGGGCTGGCGGCATCACGTCGCACGCTATCTTTGCAACGCCAACCGTAAGACGGCCCAGGAGGGCCCTGGGATGAACCCCCACGAGCTGTTCCATCGTGCCAGTCCCTTCTCTGCCCTGGATGTCGGCCGACCTCGCTGCGCGCTGTCTGGCCCCGTCTTGCCTGGCCCCCTTGTGTGCACTGCAAGGGCCAAGTCTGCCGTTGGCCTCTCCAGCGCGATTTCGGAGGGAAGAGGCGGAGATGACAGCGCCACGACACAACACCTCCGCGAAGCAATCTACTGCAAATGCAAGTCTGTGATCATGATGCTCCAACCGACTTTAACCTTGATCACCAGGAAGAATTTCGAGCGCCCCCAAAAAGTACCGAAACTCAAGTGTTTTCACGTGCCGGGCCCTGGGAGACCCTCGCCCGACACTGTTTCGATACTGTTTCGGCACTCTTTTGACACTCTCCTGGGTGCTCCAAATTATGCCTGGGACGCGGTCCTGAAATAGGACGGGAACAGCACATTTCCGTGATGAAGAACCGACCCGGCGCCCGGCCCGGCAATCACAGCATGCTTCAGCGCACTGGGAAGGGCTGCGATGGGGGCGAGAGGGTATCAGTGCCACGCCGCGGCGGGGGCCGCCCAGGCCCCGATCGGCGTGTGTCACTGTCGGTGTGCGCCGCCTTTCTTTGTCGGACGAAGAACGGGGGAGCAACGCGCCGGTGGGGCCCCTGGGGCCCCCCGCGGCGGCGTGATAGTGACGCTCCTTCGCCCCCCCGAGGGATGGAAGGATGGGTGGGGTGTCAGATGTGGCGCGAGGGCGCCCAGCTTGACTCCCCCTCCTCCTCCTCCTCCACCTCCTCCTCCTCCTCCTCCTCCTCCTCCTTCCTCCTCCTCCTCCTCCCCCTCCTCCTCCTCCTCCTCCTCCTCCTCCTCCTCCTCCTCCTCCTCCTCCTCCTCCTCCCCCTCCTCCTCCTCCTCCTCCTCCCCCTCGTTGGCACCTCCTCTTCCTCCCCTGGTCCGCCTCCACCTCCTGCACATCCCCCGCCTTTGCGCTTGAAACACGTCGGCCACCGCTGCCCACTCCCTCGCTCTCTCGTTCTCTCTCTCTCTCTCTCTTTCTCTCTCTCTCTCTCTGTCTCTCCATTGTCTTGGCGGCGAGCGAGGGGGGAAATGAGAAGGAGAAGGCCTTCTCAGAAGGCGGCGGGACTTCTCAGAAGTCCTCGCGACTCCTGAGAAATTGCCTGTGCCTTTGGGGAAAGCTCAGAGCACTTCTCGGAAGGCCAGGGAGCTTCCGAGCCTTCCGAGAAGGCCCGCCCCTTCTCGCTTCCCTCCCTCGCTCGCCGCCGATTGTCGGCAGCCCCCACGAGGACTGGGGAGAGGGTGTCGTCTTGAGCCACCTTGGAGGCCATGCTTGGGCCGCACGGGGGCCATCTTGGAACCACCGCGGGGCAGCGCTGGACGCTCTAGCCCTCTCGCGCCCTCCCGCCCAGGCCCGGGAGGATGGGAGGAGCAGGCCCCTCCCCGAAAGGAAAGAGGGGCGAGGAGGCAAAGGAAGGGCGAACTCGCCACATCACCCACGGCAGGTTCGCGTGGACGCTCGCGGCGCCTCGTTCGTGGAGGTCCTTGGACGCCCACGGCTGATCGCCGCCGTTTGTCGACGTGACGCGAACCTACCGAACGCTCCACGAGCTCGTAGAATTTCATTTGTTTTGCCATGTCGATGGGGCGTTAAAGGTGCCGCCCCCCCCCCCCCCCTGGGCAGTCTCTCCCAGACTGCTTCTGGTGCAGGCGAGATGTAGGGCAAGCGTGCTCGCACTCAACGGCCCGCGCGAACCTCGTCGTGCACGCTTTAACGCCCTTCCCCGGGCAAGCCCGCTGGTCCGTCGCAGTCGGAGCTGCAACACCTCACGCGTCTCTCCCCCCCCCTTCCACCAGATCGCTCCTCCTGCCCCATCCTTCCCCCTCGTCCTCCCCAGGCCACCCACGTGGTGATTCTGCAGCTGCGTGAAACCCCGGCGATCTCGCCAGCTGCACGAACCAACCGCGGTCTCTGGCCCAAAGTCCGGAGTAAGACCGAACCTCCCCCTCCCACGTGTGAGGCGTCTGCATCAACTTAGTGGTTGGGCACTCTCATTACCATGTCCCTCCTCCTGTTTCCCCTCCTCCTCCTCCTCCTCCTCCCCCTCCTCCTCCTCGCCCTCGTCCTCTTCCTCCTCCTCCTCCCCTTCGGCCCTCCGCTCGACCCTGGGGCCTGGAATGCCGACCAGCATATGCTCTCGTGCTCCTCGATCTTACGGTCCTGCGGCGGCAGGCCCCGACAAGAGGATGTCGCGGTGAGGAGGACGGCGAAGAGGAGGAGGACATCCTCCTTCTCATCCTCTCTCCCTTCTCCTGCAGCCTTCTTGCAGCACTGCTCATCAGATTCTCGCGCAGGGCCCCCGAGGGCTGCGCGGCTGCCAGGACATCGAAAGCCTTCGAAGTCGGGGTGCTCGGTGACCCCGGTAGGGGCAACGGGCGACCCGCGGGAACACAGCGAGCACATCACAAACGTCGGGGCGTGGCCCGAGGGCTCGAGCACGTCGAGGGTGCCCCCGGCAGTCCCAGACCGAGCGCGAAGGTTGAGAAACACGGCTGTGGGGGCATTGATGAACTGCAGGCCTCGGACAAAAAATAGCGAACACTCATGCCACATTCATCTGTGAACGCCTCCCCCTCCCCCCAATGTTCAAAGTTGGCGGTGGGTCTGATGAGTTGCACCTCGACCGCAGTCTCCCCCGCGCGCGCCAACCTTGAGTTTGGGGGGCAGGGGGGGTGTTCACTAATTGTTTCCCTCTACCGTATACGCGGTCCAATCTGGCCAATGAAACCACATCGTAGCCAACCATCACGCGGTGCGCGCCCTCACCATGGGGGGAGTCTCCAGGAACTGATGGGGGTGGCCCGGCAGAGGAACTGAAATGGAGTGAACGTCAAACGTGGGAGGATCGCCGCCAAGGCGGTGTCTCCCATCGAGGCCCTCAGGGAAACCCCAAACATCCACCCACGCTCTAGAGGCATTCGTTCGGGGAGGGAGGCCCACGGACAGCGCGAGCAAGCCATCTGCACTTCTTCGGGCCTCCTGGAGACCTCTTGGAGATCCGTTCGGAGCAACGTGCAGCATATCAGAGGCCTCGTGGGCCATGTTGAGGTCATCTTAGGGGCTATCTTGGCCGTTTTGGAGGCGTCTTGGAGGCCATTTCGGGCTATCATAGCTGGCCTGGAGGCACTCTTAGCGCTATCCGACGCGCACACCCGGGATCACAATCATGGCCCCTCCCACTCCTTCAAAGAGACGAACGCCAGAGCAACGGCCAGCCGATATTACAGTGGGGCCTCCGACCCCGTCAAGAGTTGCTTGCGCGTGGAGATCGCACAACCGCCAGCGCGAGCATCCGCGAAAAAGGGGCCGACGCGAGCGAACGAGGGGCGCGGCCGGCCGATCGTCTCGACCTCCTCCCCCTCCTCCTCCTCCTCCTCCTCCTCCCCCTCCTCCCCCTCCTCCTCCTCCTCCTCCTCCTCTTCCTCCTGCTCCTCCTCCTTCTCCTCCTCCTCCTCCTCCTCTGCCACTTTCCGAGCCGTGAGTAGTTCCTTGACGCGCGGCATTTTCGACGTGCCTGGTGGGCTCGCTGGAGTTCTCGGGCCCCCCAAAAAAGCGGCAGACTGCGGCTGCCGCGCGCGTTTCCGAAGAGGGCGATGGATGTTCAGGATGCAGTGCTGAAGGCTCGACGAACAGGTCAAGGCGTGGGCCTTCAACTGTCGCCAGGAAGCGTGCTGGGGGCAGGCCGCCCCGACCCTTCTCAAAACAAACGGAATCCACAGCGGCGGAGCTGGCACGAGCAAGGGCGATATTGGCTGGCGCTGAGACTTGCTGGACGTCTTCCAACTCTGAACCCTTGAGCTTCAGCTGCGCCCTCTGGCCGATGGCCTCCGCGCGGCCCCTCTCGACGCCGGCTCGCGAGAGTGTGCGCGTTGGGCACGGCGTCGAAGCTTCTGCCGTCGCTGGCCTCCCCGACAGAGACTGGCGGCGGCTGCCCATGCGCGCAGTGAATCTCCAGCGCCCTGGGACTCGATGTCATTCTTCGCCAGGCGGCGGGCGGCGGCCTCGGCGTCGTTCACCGCGCGGCTCTCCCGGCGGACAAGGGGGCGGGCTGCCGCGACCGACGCGTGAAGAGCAGGCCTTGCCGTCGCGAGTCCGCCCATGAGAGGCCCATGCCTCTTTCAGCCGCCCAGACATGGTTTCCCCCACCTCCTCGGACTTGAGCAGGGACCGACCGTCCCGGCATTCCTATAGTCATACCTCCTGGCAGTCTTATAGTCATACCACGAAATGCTCTGAGAACCCAAAAATGTTCTAAGAACAAAAGCAATGTTCTTAGAACGTATTCCCGATGTCATAGAACAGGACCGCCCCAGCCAGAAATGTTCTAATAACATCTCGCGAGAACCGCAACAAATTCTTAGAGCATTGTTCGGTAGGGCTATAGGCGAGCCGGGACGCTTCGCCACTGCTTGACTGACGCGAGCTTTCACGCGTAAGCGTACTTGAAGCGTTTTGCGAGAAAGGCCATCTCACTGCCGAGCTATGCCGGCGCCCCTCGCCTGGGAGAGCTGAGACTGGATCAGCAGCTGCGCGGGCGTGGGCGGGCGAAGGAAACCTCCAGTCCACGACGGGCACGGGTCAGAATCCTCGCCGAGCTGGGCACGCGGCCCAGCCCGACGAAGAAGGGAGGCAAGAGCCGTCGCGGGCCGAAGTCCCTGAAAGGCCGGACGACGAGTACGAGCCAACAGAGGTGACCGCCGCCATCGCCGGCTCGAGTTTCGCAACGCGGGCTTGGAATTTGGCATCGACTCGCTGTTCGTCGTTGCGTTGACATTAACGGGGAGGAGGGGGGTCGCGAGAGATTCGCCATCTCCACCTAAGCCGCACCCATCACTCATGCTGTCATCGTTGACCATGGCCACCTGCATCTCGAGGGAGGCGATCGTGGCGTTCTGATCCTCGAGGTCGGGCCGAGGGTCTCCGCGACCTCGCTGAAGTCGCCCATGTGCTTGGTCATCGTGCCATCCTGCTGTCAAAGCACTTCGCCTCGTTACTGATGTTCGCTATATGGCCACCCAGCGCTTCGATGATGGCCCATCGCGGTTCCGAGCGCTCGACCGCCACGGCCCTCACGGCGTCGGCATCCAGCGCGGGCGCGGCGCCGCCGACGACGCGGCGCGGCAAGTGGAGGCCTGCAGCTGCAGGGGCAGCTCGCTGCAAGGCTCGCCGCGCGGAGGACCTCCTCGGCGCGCGCCCTGGGCGCTCGACCCTTGGCTTGAGCCCACATGGCTGCGGAGGGTGGCGGCGATGGCGACGACAGTGACGCCTGCTGGCCCCCGCGGCCGGACGAGAACCGCGCGCGCGAGCTGCCGAGACTTCGGCGGCGGCGCCCGACGAGTGCGCGCCTCCGCGCGGCGTGGCTGGCGGTGCTTCTTCGCGGCGCTGGCTATAGCGCGGGGACCGTCGGGGCGCGCCCTGGCCCGGCGCGGCCCCGCGCGCCTCGCCGCCGAGCCGCGCGGCGGACGCGCGGCGGGCTGCCCGCGGCGAGCAGGCCGCAGCGGCAGCCGGGGGGGGGGGGAGGGCCGCCCGGCCCCCCGGTCAGTTGCAAGCCCAGGGGAGGACGACGAGGGGGCGAAGGAGAAGAGGGGGACGAGGCCGATGGGGGAAGCAGCGGCGACCCCCACGGCGCAGAAACACGACGACGAGGGAGGGCAGGAAACGAGCGGGGAGGCGACAGAACGAGGAGACGAGTCGACAAGAGACGAGCGGGCCTAGATGCGCGCCAGGGCGGTAGCACGAGTCCGAAGCAGCTCAATTACTTTCCTCTTGGCATGTTTTATCTTCGCCGAACCGCTCACGCATGCCCCGGGTAAGTCAACGCGGTCATGGACAACGTCGGAGGGGGGAAGGGGGCGGCGACGCTGCAATTTGCCGAGGCACCATTCCGCGCGAGCGCCAGCATCCACTCCGCCAGGGAAGGGATGGCCACGACCCCAGAGAAGCTGGAACAGCATGATCTGGCACGCCACCGCGAACAGCTCAAACTGGTAAATCATGGTGGACAGAATCGAGTACATCACGGACTGGCGCATCGTGAGCAACATTTTGTACAGCACGAAATTGTACATCCCGAGCTGCGTCGCGCGCAGCATCGCGTGAAGCATGCAGCACGAACTTGCGCAGCAAAGCGAACAATTCGAACAAGCACAGCTCCGAGAACGGCACCGTGCGCAGCGCCGAGTCAAGCGCGAACTTGCACCTCGCGAGCAGCACTTTGTACAGCATCGGATGCAGCATCCTGCGCACCTACTTGCACAGCACGAACTGGTACGTCCGCATCGGGCACAGCACCTCGTACAGTGAAAACTTGTACAGCACCACGAACAGCGCGAACGTGCACAACATCGGGCGCGGCATCGTGCACCGCGAGAATGTACATGATGCACCGCATCTCTTACAACAGGAACTAGTAGGTCGCGAACAACGTCGTGTACAGCTTCGGGTATGGCATCGTGTAGATCACTGCGTTCAGCACGAGCATGCAGCATAGTGTACCGCATCTAGTACCTCATCTTGCACATCACGATCCGGTGCATCGTGAACAGCACGAACAGGTGCAGCACCGCGAGCGGAATCTGGGACAGCACGAACAGGTACAGCCGCCAGAACAGTAATATGTTGAACAGCATCTGGAATAGCAGATGGAACTGCACGATTTTGGACAGGACCAAGAACAGAACCCCGAACAGAAACAGCTGCCGCCATCTGAGGGAAGTATGGGGTCGGTGGCAGGATCGCTCTGCAGGTCCTGTGTTTTCTGTCTCGCTCGCCGCAGCCGCTGCCCACGGGTCACTACTCCATGTCCCATGCCACTGGTCCCGGAGAGATCCAGGAACCTCACGCCGCCGAGAGCCAGGTGGCAGCCCACAACTACACCTGTCACCATCATCCTCGTCCCCAGCATCATCATGTTTGGGGGGGGGGGGGGGCGCTCCGTCGTCATCATCGAAACTGCCGCCAACGACAGGATTAGTAGGAGGCATCTCGGGCCAGATGGAGACCGCCTGGCGCCCATCAGAATGGCGACGTCCACGAGCAATCGAGCCGCGCCGCGCAGCCATTCGGGAGACACCATCGACCATGCTGAGCATGAGGACGCTCGAGGATGGCGTGGATGGGGGCCGCCATGCTGTCCAAGGTGATTTTGATGTTATTCTGGCCGAACGCACCGAGGAGCTCCAAGCGATGTGCACCATAGCGCCGCCGCGAACTTGTTGGCGAAGCCATCCGAGCCTGGCCACGACCACCATGCCGCGAGTCGAATCGCAGTCGCCCCCACTGGAGCATGCGCACCCAGCAGGCCAAGAGGATCAGCAGGTGCTGGAACCGAAATGGAGATGATGGTGATGTTGCTGATGTGATGATGAGGATGCTGATGTTGATGATGCTGCTGATGTTGATGATGCTGATGATGATGATGCTGCTGATGATACTGATAATGATAATGGTAATGATGATGATGATGATGATGATGATGATGATGATGATGATGATGATGATGATGATGGTGATGATGGTGATGGTGATGGTGATGGTGATGGTGATGGTGATGATGATGATGCTGATGATGATGATGATGATGGTGATGGTGATGGTGATGGTGATGGTGGTGATGATGATGATGATGATGACGCAGGCGCGCGCGCAGCGCTTCACATCGGAGGGGGCGAAGGAGAATGAGGAGGGGGGAAGACGGACGGACGGAAGGCGGGAAGGAGAACGAGGATGCGGCAGATGTGAAGGAGGAGACGGATGAAGCAGACGAGGAGTACGAAGAGGCGAAGGATGGTGAGAACGAGGGGCAGGGAACAGGATGAGAGGCCGACGATGACATGGACGAGGTGGCGAGGAGGTCGAATATAGAAAAAATCAAGCGCCAGATGAAACGTATGCGGAGCTCGAACGGACCTCGAGCGTCACCGCCGGGGCTCGCAACACCCGCCGTCGGCCCTCCCAGCGGGAATCCTTTAACAACATTTCGTTTGCATGGGCTGACTCGACACGATGGTCACATCGGTGGTGACGCCACTGGGACCAGCGACCTGTAACTACTGGGGCGATGGTCGAACTGGTGGTGCCCCGACTGCCACCACCTCTGTCCTTGTAGTTGCTGCCGTCACTTCCGCAATACACCATGCCACTAAATGGCACGGGCAAACATGTAACCGAAGTATGATCAGCTGCTCATCAATCGACCAGTTGCCATTCCAGAATCAGTGGCCTCTGCATTCATGCAGAGACTGGGCTGCAAATTTGGAAGGCGATAGAGATGATTGTGAACTATAGGGCGTAGAGCATGAGCCACTCCGCATCCTTTACACATGTCATGGTGTGCGCACCCACGCCCTCGCACCCCAGAAGCTGTCCTGCACGCCGCAAGCTGTGACCGCGGGGGATGGGCACAGCGGTCTCTGCGAGAAAGCAGAACAGACCCAAATGCACCAGAACTGCCGCAATTTTACCGTGCGCGGGACCGCTCTACTGGTGCACATCTCTCAATCCCCCCTGTGACAGCGCTTCGGCTCTCGCGCGGGCTGCTGCGCATTGCTGCATCGTGGTGAGGCGGGCAGCCGGCGCGCGCTCCATGCAGGCTGCGATGAACTCGGTGTACTCGATGCAGCCGCTCCCGTCCTGAGAGGGCGCCATCGATGAAAGCGACAGGCACCCATAACCAGCCTCGAACGTATCCCTATCCCTAAGATTACCAAGCCAAACATCGACGACAATCTTAGGGATGCGCCCTCAGAAAAGGAGCGGATGCCTAATTTCGGCATCGAGATGAGGCGATGCCAATCATAGGGATAGGGATATGTTCCAGGCTGGTGAACCCAGAGCGCGCGCAGCAACACCTACGGTCGGGAACGTTTGCTTCGCGTGTCGCGGCGGCGGCCCGGCGACACGCTGTGCCCTTCAAGCAGATGGCGTGTGGCTCCGCTCCGCGGGGCGGGAGGCTGGGAAGGCTCGGGTTGCTAGCGCTTGGGAATTGGGACGTGGTGAGCGTGTCGCGCCGAAGAGTGGTGGGCCAGAACCGGCGGAGCGACGCGCTAGCCCAAGATTCCCCACCGCAACTGAGCAGCACAGCCGCACACACAGACGCGCAAGCAGATTCTCAAACTCGGATACCCGGCGTGAGGACTGGAAGGGTTGGGAGCCCAAGCACCCGCGCCTGCACGGGCGCAGAACAGGGCGTCGCCACAGCTCCACGCCTGAATGGCAAGCCTGCGCGCTCGACGCTGCGGCCGCCCAGGTTTAGAGCACACCCCCATCTGAGTATGAGAATGAGGAGTCATCCAGTCGCTAAGAACTGCTGCAAAACGCGCATCTGGCCATCGCTCGGACGTCCATTCCCTGTGTTTTTTTCGATTTCGTGCGTGGCTTTTTCGCCAAATGATCAACGATGCTCCTCGATGGTCCTCGCCGAAGGAAAGAAAAATGCACACGTCCGAGCGATGCCGAGACGTGCGTATCCCCTAGCCCAGAACATGCCCTCCGGCTGCCACTCCGACCCTCTTTCCTCCCGTCACGCGTCCCGGGGCCCTCCACGAGGACGCCCGTCTTCCGGTACATGGACATTTCATTCGAACCCTGTGGCCCAAGATGCCTCCCCGACCCCCCGAAATTAATATCGATGGCGCGGCGACGGGGGGGGCGTGAGTGGACAGAACTATTCGAACCCCAAAGCATCACCGTTATTGAGATCAACATTGATGACGGGGGCGCGGGGGTGATTTAGAATCTCCCTCGAATGTGTGAGGGTTCGAATACATTGTCCATCTACTGTCCTGGCCACACGGGGAGGCTCAGCTGAGCACGATGCCAGTGCAAGCACGATTTGCTGCCTGAGCTCGACCCTCCGCCGGGCACGAAAGTGGCCCAGGCCGCCCGCCGTCCATGTCGATCTCGTCGAACAGCGCACCGATATCGAGGGCATTGCCGTCCTCACAAGCCTGCTCGGGATGGGTAGCAGGAAAGACCATGGGCACGATCTCACTAGACAAGCGCGTTCCACTACTCGCAGGGTAACTCCTCGCAAATGGCCCGGATCCGCCGCGGGGGATGTGCGATCCATTGCACCGAAGTGAGCAGGTGCTGTTCGGGCGTTTGCGAGTAGGCACTTTGCGAGTAGTGGGACGCGCTCGGTGACTCACCAAGCCCAGCTGGCCCTATCACCGAATTGAACGAACAAATGCTGAGGCCATCCAACAAAGTACTTCCATGTTGCTGAGCATCCTCCTGATCACCCCACCACGCTTCCAACTCCTCAACCCCTCCTGATTCTGACTGTATTCCGTGTGCTGTGCACAGAGCGTTCGCGTCCAGAGTCACCATACCGACCGCAGACCGCAGCTACGGACATCACCTGCGGCTGGAGCAATCCTCCTCCTTCTCCTCTGCCTCCACCCTCCTCACTAGCCTTATCTTTTCTTTGTCGTTCGGCTAACCCTCATACTTCTAGTCTTTCTCCTGTTCCACTCTCCCTCCTCCGAAACCATGCGCGTGGAGTTTGGGCTCGAGCCAGCCTGCTCTTGCTGCGCGAAGCGCGCGCAAGCTCGCCGATTCTTGGCAGACTGCAGCCTAAGGGTTGCACGGAGTAGGCGAAACGGCCGAATACGGCAGCACAACAAAACACGATCTGCTCCTATTGCTGATCCTCTTCAATGTCATCCTCCCCCTCAGCCCCTCCATCTCCCTCTCTTTTTCCCCCTCCCGTTCTCCACCATCCCCTTCCCTCCTTCCCTCCTTCTATTTCAAAGAGCCAGCCTCCGGGCCCACATTGAGGTCCTGGTCTCAAACTCCACTTGTCGGCGTGGCCGTCCTACTTCCCGAGCCAACGGAATCGATGAACACTGCGGGTGCGCCGCTGCAGCAGGTGGATGTGGCCAACACCAGGGTGTCCCCTCCCCTCCAAAGTTCCTCTCTGCGAGCTGCCAAACTGTCCTTCCTTGCACCAGTGCTCAAACGTGGCCAAAGAGGTGTGCCGGGCTTCTGTTCTCCTGATCCAATCCACCACACTAGTTCCGATACGAAAAGATCCAAAGTTTCCGGTATGCGCCCACCCCTCTCAACACACGACAGCACGAAAGGTAGCACACGAGTCCGCATTCGAGCGTACCTGCCTGCTTGAACTCCTCGATCGACACGGTTCCATTCTCGTCCTTGTCGATGGTGCAGAAGGCGCAGTGCAACCTCAAGCCAGCGCCATGAGGAAATGTTGACTTAAAAACAAAGTCATCTACCAACATCCGTCTTCTGCACTGTCTGGGTCCAGCTGAGACCAGGATGGGTAGGAGGGGGAAGAGGGAGGGCAACATGCTACAGTGGTGGCGTCCCGCTCCGAATCGAAACGCGTCCGCCGATGCCGCGCACCTTTGGGATTGCCTGGGGGTCGTGCCGCACAGCGCTCGGCATCATGACCCTCCTCCTCCTCCTCCTCCTCCTCCTCTGGGAAGTACCTGCCCCCACACACAAAGCGCCTCCCTCCCGAGCCTTCCAGAAATCAGCCTCCGTGGAGCGGCGCAGGTTCCGACCAGGCCTGCCAATCCCACTCTCTCCCCTCTCTCACTTGGGGCCTCTCTGCCCCTGCTGCGGCTCCTGCGCCCCACTTCGGCGCCTCCTCGTCCTGCTCTTCCGCCGCCTCCGACCCCACTCTAGAGGCCTCCTAGGCGGGGTCCGAGCAGATGGGGTCGGAAGATCTCGCAGCATCGCCGATACATCGGCGATGCGTCGCCGATGCATCGGCGATGCATCGGCGACGTCGGCGCTGCATCGGCGACGTCGGCGCGGAGAAGTGGGCCCCACATCGAGCCGCATCGGCGATTCATCATCGCCGATGCGGCACGATCCTCTGACCCCATCCACTCCGACCCCATCTAGGAGGCCTGGAGACCCCCACCGTGTTCTCATCCCTCCCCCTCTCTCGCTCTCTCGCGCTCTCTCTCTCTCTCTCACTCACTCACTCTCTCTCTCTCTATCTCTCTCTTTCTCTCTATGTTTGTTTTTTGTCTCTCTCTCTCTCTCTCTCTTTCTCTCTCTATCTCTCTCTCTCTCTCTCTCTCTCTCCCTGCGTCAGGGAGGTAGGTGTCCCGAGACAGAGAAGGAACACGACAGCCGCCCCGAGACCCGCAGGCTCTCACGACGATCCTCGGCGGCGACCCGGGGAGGGGAGTGAGCAGGAGGAGGTGGAGGAGGTGGAGGAGGAGGAGGAGGAGGAGGAGGAGGAGGAGGAGGAGGGAGGGAGGAGGAGGAGGAGGAGGAGGGGAGAGGGAGGGAGGGAGGGAGGAGGAGGGAGGGAGGGAGGGAGGAGGAGGAGGTGGAGGAGGAGGAGGTGGAGCTTCCCAGCCTCCCGCCCAGCCAGCATCGGCTGCTTGCGGCAGCTGATCCGCGCGCCTCGCGGCTCGCGGGCGCGGGCCGCCGCCGCTCCGAGGGCCGCGCCCCTGGGGATCGCCCTCTCTCCCTGCGGGTCTGGCGGGGGCGCAGGGAGCCGTGCTGGCTGGCAGCCTCGTCGGTGGCGTCCCCTCTTTTCTGGCCCCGAGGTCCTCAGCACCCCGCAGCAGGACCCCCGCGACGCGCATCGCGGACGTCCGCTGCGGCACGCCTTGCAAGAAAGTTGGCGGTACTGCTGTCGTCGTGCCGTTGCTGCGGCCCCTGCTTCTTCGTCGATCTCCTTCTCGCGGCTGAGGCCTTGGGGGCCGCGTCCACCGCCCCCTCTCCCCGCGCATCTGGCGAAGGCGCGGGGAGCGCTACAATCGGGCTCGCGCTGTGGCGTGACGTCGTTCCACCTCCGAGATCCCCAGCAACCCGCGACGAACCCCCACGGCAGCAGCCGTGAGCATCCGCCGCGACATGCTTTCCAAGGAGGGTGGCAACACCAGGCAGGCTGTCGTCGTGCTGCTGTGTGCTGTCGTGGTGCTGGTCCTGCTTCGTATCCGTGATGGGAGCGGTCAGATTCGGCGGGCGCGTTTCTGCACGCTGACCTTCACCAACCGCCCCTGGCCGACGCGGAGAGTGGCCGTCCTCCCCCTCAGCCCCGCTGCTTGCAACGGATTGACTCGTGAGATGGATATCGTTGTCCTTGTCATGTCCGCGAAGCTGTGGCGACCTGATGCCAAGCAGGTCGGTACTCACATCCATCCTCTCGCGAGGAGGCGTGGTGCGTGCCTACTGGCTTTTTAAGGTCGTACTGCTGGTCTCGTCGGACGGGTCGAGGTCGTCTGATGAGACTTCTGGGCAGAACTCGGACGACGTGCCAACAAGGTCGGTACTCACATCCGGCCTCGTGTGAGGCGGTGTGGTGCGTGCCTGGTGGTCATTTCCCAATCCGCTGTTGTCCTCGTCGTGCCGGCTGCGGTTGGGTGTCTGCGACGTATCTCAGCAAAACGTGGGCGACTCGTCGTCAGACAAGTCGGTACTCACAGCAGCCCTCTGTAGAAAGGGTGTGGTGCGTGCCTGCTGGCTGTTTTCTGAGCCGCTATCGTGTCCTCGTTTAGACGGAGGAGGTGGAGGAGGAGGAGGTGGAGGAGGAGGAGGAACAGGAGGAAGAGGAGGAGGAGGGGGAGGAGTTGGAGGAGGAAGAGGTGGAGGTGGAGGAGGGGGAGAGGGGGGGCAAAAGGAGGAGGAGGAGGAAGAGGAAGAGGAGGAGGAGGAGGAGGAGGAGGAGGGGGAGGGGGCGCGGGCCATCTCAGAAGGCTCAGACGTCCCCCAGCCTTCTGAGGAGATTCCTATAAGCCTGCCCCGAAAGCACCAACCGCTTTGAGGAAGGCGCGAGGGCTCCTGAGACGTCCCGCCGCATCTTGAGCAAGGCCTCCTCCGTCTCACTTCCTCCCCCCCTCGCTCGCCGCCGAGATCCTCCCTCGCTGGGACCACAGGGCCAGCGACCTGCCACCCCCCACGCCCCGGGCAGGCGCGGGCGGCAACGGGGTAACCAGGACACGGGGGCCAACGGCGGAGCGGGGACGGGCTCAGCAGCGCACCCTCTCCCCTCCCCCAGGGCAGACAGTCCATCCCCATAAGAATCACCCCGGCAAGCGAAGCCGTTTAGCAAGCGCACCCAACGAAAGGAAAGAATCGAACAGGGCAGGGCTCTGTAAAAAACGCCCAGGGCCGTTGTGCAAACATCACTTGTCGGGTCCGGGCGCTGTTTGTCCTCCGTTTTGACTATCCTCCGCATCCGCTCCCCGCGGGCGGGGGCCAGCGAGACAGCGGCGGGGGTTCGAAGGCACTATTTTTTGGTTGCCGTCCCCTGCCAAAGACCACACCCTGGGGGGGCAGAATCGCAGCGGCCCGCGCGGACGAAGAAGCGAGGGGGGCGAGCGGGAGGGAGGAGGGAGGAGGGAGGAGGGAGGATGAGGGAGGGAGGAGGGAGGAGAGAGGAGGGAGGACTTGCGCTCGGGGGAGAGGATTGGGCCGAAAGCACCCAGCGCCCGCGGGGCACACGGGCGCGCCCCGAGAAGGCCTGGGCCGAGGACACCCCCAGCAGCGAGGGGGCTGTGCCGCCCCGCAGCCCTGTGGGTGCCATGGCAATGGATATCCTAACAATCCTTTCGTTTTGATTTGAAGATATCTTTAACATGTGAGACTGTGTTCTAAACATGTCTTAAACATGATGTTTTACATGTGCTAAACATGTGTTTTGCTTTTTATAGTAAGAAACCATGTGTTAGACATCTGGGAACTGGTTGGCAACATGCTCCCTCTCCATGGATCGCCCTCCACAACCGCAGCCCCAACGAAGATTGGGCGCCCGAGTTATCCGGGGTAACTCGGGTCCGGGGTAACTCGGGTTTGGATTCCCGAAAAAGGAACCCGAGTTATCCCTGACCCGAGTTACCCCTGATGATTCGGGGCTCTGAGAAGATGCGGGTGGCCATGCGGAGGGCATGACGTGGTGACGCGTCGCCGCCGAGAGGTGCCTGGGCCAACCCCCCTCGCCGCCCCCCCTGGCTTGAGCAGGGACCGACCGTCCCGGCATTCCTACAGGTCTAGGACGACATGTTCTCAGAATCCAGGCATGTTCTGAGAACCGACACAATGCTCCTAGAACGCAGACTCGATATGTGAAGCCGAGGCAGTCCCGACCAGAAATGCCCAGAGAACACCTCGTGCAGACCACAAAAAGGCTCCTATCGGGGATGGACAGACCCCCTATCGTAAAACGTGGTTTAGTGCAAACGACCTGACGCCCAAACCTGGCGGGCGCAAGCCTGGAACATAACGGCCACGGCGCCATCTCGAGAACCGAGAACGGACGATTCACTAATCGACGCGTCCCTGTTGGGGGTTCTCTGTCCACCCCCGATCCTAGAGCATTCTCTGGGGGGCCCCACTGGCCAGACAGACGCTTCGCCGCTGCTCGATCCTAGTTCGGCCCACGGCCGGGGCAGGCCGCAGGCGGCACACCCGGGCCAAGGCTCGGGCCGAGCCTCGGGCCGGCAAGCTGCCACTTCGGGAGGCCCCCGCGTGGGAGCCCGGCCTCGCTCGGCCCCCACGTGCCCAGGGAGGAGGGCGGGTCTCGCGCGACCTGGCCGCAGCCCCCGCGTCTTCGTTCGGGGGGCCCCTCCCAGCTCCCTGCTGGAGCCTGGCTCCAGGATCCTCTCCTCCGCCTCCTCCTGATCCACCTCCTCTCTGCCTCCTC